GAGGGGGAGACAGGCCTGACCCTGACAGCGGCAGGAATAAACTTTTATTCCTCATGGAGATACAGCGTGTTCAGCCGCATGTGTGACTTAGAATCGGACGAGGACTTTGAGGAGCACGAAGCTCAAGCACCACGTCCACATCAGCTGAACATTACTGATTGGTAAAGTTTTAATAAACACTAGTAGATCAACTTATTATATCGTGTAACTGCAGTTTAGAACAATGAGCTTCTGCTGTCGCTTCTGTTTAGGTTCATGTGGGAAATGTCAGACGATGTGGGGGGACGGGGGTGGGTGCAAAGAGCCTTCTGCTACGTCATAGGTGAATCTGCCGCATCATCGTTGTAGCAGCTTTAGTTCGTTGTCACGTGGGAGGGAGGCAGAAATATGCTGCAATTTGTTTAAAAAATGCTGAATCAATCCAAAAACAACTTCAGCGACAAATACAAGGCCCCCACATCACTCTGAGAAGGTAGAAAGATCTGAAAAGTTGATTTTGCATGAGATGAACCCTTTAAGATGCTCCGGCTCCCCAGGGACTCTTTTGGACGTAACACCTGAGGCAGACCACACCAGAGGGTAAGTACGTTCATTTTAACCACGATCACTTAAATTAAATGCACTTATTTCTTTTACAGGTCACTTCACAATAATCTGCACAACAATCACTTATTCAATAAACATTTTTAAAACTGTTTCTTATTACCGCACCTGTTCTGGCACTAGGCCCATGTAATGGACTGGCTACATTACATTTCCCGACACGTTTGAGCAGGAGCACTTCTGTGTTCTTCAGACGAGTCACTGTGACGTGTTGATGGTTCTGCTTCCTGATTTCAGCCTCAGCCTCTTGTATCTGTTTTTGTGCTGTGTATTTGTGCTCCTCTTCTTAGCTCTGTTATTGTTTATTTCTTGTGTTCCTTTTTCCTTGTGCTAAATGTACTTCCTTCCTCCCCAGTACATGTTTTATTGTCTGTTTTCTGTGGATTCTTTTACAATAATGACATTAACATAAAAATGATAGAGCAGACACAAGAACAATGGAGCTGATTTGATCTTTATTTCCCTGACAAAACATTAAAACCATATTCTTATTGACATTGCTCTTCTGGGTGGTCACAATGTAACACGTTTAACACACAAATCCCAAGACAAAAAATAGGAATATATTTTATTTGTCACCCGCTTTACATTTTAAAAGCAAAAATCTCAAAGTTGTAACACACATAATTAAAGATTTAACCACCTGGCTCCACTCCACACCCCAAACTAAAAATCTACAGAGAAAAACATTATTGTTATTAAAGAAACACATTCTGCTAAATCAACACATGAACTCTGTTCTAACAGTGTTTTCTCATGATCTCATTCAGAGTTGTTTCTAATTTAATCATTTCACACTTGAGAGCTCAGAAAATTTCAGTTTCCCCTTTTCCCACCCACACCTTTGTTCTTACGTACAGTTGAACAATGAATAATCTGTAAAATAATGATCTATGTAGGTTTATTACAGTAAAAAAGTCCCATACTGCAGCTTTAAAACAGCAGTGTTTAGTACCTTATACATTTAAGTGACACATGTGAACACAGAGCAGCAGCAGAGACAAGAGCAGAGCTGGAGGCAGAACCTGCACTGCTCCTGAGAACACGACTCATCCTTGTCCTCCTCCGGCTCTGAGGTGGGCGGGGCCTCTGTGGCGGCTCGTGTCGTGTGTGTGGTTAAGGCCGCGGCCTCTGTTGTGGTTGGCGTTGTGTGTGGTCAAGGCCGCGTCCTTTGTTTGGGTTTTTGTCGTGTGTGTGGTCAAGGCCGCGTCCTTTGTTTGGTTTGGCCCCGCGTTTGGTTGTGGGCGGGGCCTCTGTGGTGGTTGGCGTTGTGTATGTGGTTGTGGGCGGGGCCTCTGTGGTGGTTGGCATTGTGTATGTGGTTGTGGGCGGGGCCTCTGTGGTGGTGGGCGTTGTGTATGTGGTTGTGGGCGGGGCCTCTGTGGTGGTTGGCGTCGTGTATGTGGTTGTGGGCGGGGCCTCTGTGGTGGTCCATGGGGCGTTGCAGTAGCTGGTGTTGCAGCAGGACAGTGGTTGGTTGTTGGTGTACAAGTATCTTTGGGAGAAGGTGAGGTTGTTGCACAGATTCTCAGAGACACATCCATAAACACTGTAGCTCCCAACTGGAACACAGAAGATCCACACAACTCAAACATGCACGTTAAGAATATTCACATTTAGAAGAATATATACAGCATTTATTCATATCCAGCTCGGCTCCTCGACCAGAGGCCTGGGAGCCTGAGGGTTGAGGGATCCTTCAGGATCAGGATCGTACGTCCTTGGATTAGTCATTCAGGGTGAGAATAGGGTCTCCTCCTTTAGCAGTTGGTTCATTTGTGCTGCCAGGTGCTCGTGGAGAACAGTGAGCTTCTTTAGGATGTATGCGTGGCTCCTCTGTGAATTTGAGTTTGACTCTCCTGCTCTAAAATAACCGTCTGGCCTTTGCGGTTTTAAAGTGCATGTAGAAAGCTGCGCTCTCCACATGTGCCTCCAGGCCTCCGTAGAAAGGCAAAACAACACAAGTTAAGGGGACGTTTGGAACAATGGTTGTTGCAGTTTGCGCAGTGACAAGAAGCGTGTAGTAAAGAACATTGTGACTACAACCATGTTTCAAACAGACAGAAGTGAAGGAAAAACGGGATTATTTGGATATAATTTGAAACTATTTGTTCTACTTTTCACACACAAGGTTTTTAGATTTTATTGGGCCACCACTGTTGCCTTGATTGCCCTGACCACACGCCACTGCCTCAGACTCTTTCCTGGATGTTTGCCACTATGATGATGACAAGATATTGTTCACGTTGCTGTGGTTTTCTCTCAGATCCAACTGTGTGTCGGTGTTATGTGATGCCTTCCTCTCCCATGTGCCTTTCCAGTTGGACCAGTTTAAAAACTGGTGAAACATCATAAAGAAATAAAAGGCAAGTGTGTCTCTCACCAGAAGTGTTGGAGCAGGTCTCCAGGACACTGCAGGTCACAGTTGCTTTGCATTCATTTGTGTTTGGGTCACAGCCGTAACACTGCAGCGAGCCAGCAGGGGGCGCTGGAAATGAAACAAAGAGAACAAAACTCAAATATTACCCTCTAAACTCAGAGATCAGAGGTCAGATCACTCACTGGTCGGGTTTGGAGCGTTGCAGTCGTCTGTGTTGCAGCATGTGTAGTTTCTGAGGTAAGACCTGGAGCCAGTGTCATAAGAAACAAACTCAGACCCTGCAGCTGTACAGACCGAGGATGAAGCACAGCCTTTTCTGATCCACTGTAGCTGTAGTTGTAGCTTCCATAATCGTAAGAAGCTGAAACCAGAACAGAAACAGGTCAGATCTGAAGAGACTTCTCCAAGAACCAGGTCTGGACTGTGGACCAGAGCCAGACTCACCCACTACAGACCTGTACCAACCAATCAGAGAGAGGCTCAGACATGCAGTGACCAATCAGAGGACAGTACTGTACCTGCGTAGGCATCAGTGTAACAGAAGGGGGCGAGTTTGGAGCAGGTCACCGAGCGCTGAGAAGAACATGACGAGTCTGTGCACGTCAAACACTGTAACCCCAGATCTGAAAGAGACACAGGTTAGACCAGGACTGAACCAGGACTGAACAGGACTGAACCAGGACTGAACCAGGACTGAACCAGGACTGAACTGCCATTTTTCCTGAGGGACATGTAAATTTGACAGTCGTCTGCATAAAAATTATTATTCCATGTTTTTGGAAAATCTGTCTGAAAATCTGGGAGAATATAAAGATATAAAGTGCAAACAGTACAGGTGCAAGAACAGAGCCTTGAGGGACTCCACAGTGAAGCAGAGTGAAGGACAAGGTGGAGTCCCCCAGTCTAACATAGAAAGACCTCCCCGACAAATGGGACCTGAACCAAACCAAGGCAGATCCCCTACAGACTCAGGACAGACTCAGTACAGACCCTCTGACACCAATACAGTTTTCAAGATGATTTCAAAAAGTTGCACGGTTCACTGAGTCAAAATCAGCCGTCAAGTCTAAAAGCATTGAAATGGCAGAGTCATCAGAATCGGTCATTAAAAACAGGTCATTAAAAACCTTTAAAAGTGCTGACTCAGTGCTATGAAATACTTTGTCAACTGACTGGAACAAATCAGATACATTATGTGCATTTAAAAATAACTGCAGCTGAACTAAAATACTCCAGAATCTTGGACGCAAATTAAGTCTTTGAGATGTAGAAAAAAGGATGGCAGATGCACTCTGATTTGCAGTGAATTTATTAATAGTCACACCAACGTGTTTTGACTACTTAGTCTTCATCTCAAATCTCTGAGATGGTTTGATAATTTGAAGGAAACTACTGTCAAGAGTGGGAAGGAACTGAAAAAGGACTAACCTGGGACGTTGCAGTGGGAAGTGTTACAGCAGGACACTGAGGTACTGAAGCCAAAATATTGTCGTGACAGGTTGGTGTTGTTGCACAGATTCTCAGAGACACAGCCGTAAAATGGACGGGATGGGTTATACTGGTCAACTGTAACGAAAGGTCAGAGGTCGGGCTGAATTGGGGGAGGTTGTGTAAGAGCAAGAAGTTTGTGAACTTGGAGAGGTGAACTTGGAGAGGAGTCCTGATTCTTCCAGTAAAACAATGCACCTGCCTGAGGAGACTGTGCTTGAGTGTTTAGTGACTCAACTCATATTATGTCGTGAGGGGCGAGGCGCAGGGTTCCAAACTGCAAACTCTGGCAATGAATTTGTTAAACTCGGGAAGAACAGCTAAGATAAAAGACTGATTTACTGATCAATAAATCTCCACAGGATCTATACTAACTCATGGCTGAATGGAAGGAGCCCTGGTCACCGCCCACACCATTGGACAAAGTCTGTTTTTGGGTGGAGTTTTGGCCTCCAGGAAAGTTCAACATTCATGATGATGATGGTCTCTCTTGTCCTGTTGTATTTTGGTGAACTGGTGCATGAAACAGTAGAAGTGGATCTTTTGAACTGTACTCACCCACAGCCTGTCCACACACCTCCTGGGTGTTACAGCTCACATTGGCAGTGCATTCATAAGAGGAAGGATCACAGCTGTAACACTGCAGAGAACCAACAGGGGGCGCTGAAACAGAGAGGAGCAGTTGGACCTTTGAGAAAAATCTATGGGGTTTAAGTTTGGACATTTTGGTTGGGATTTTTAAAATGCAATTTTTCATTATCTACTATTATTAAATATTATTTATTTCTATGTTTCTTGCTGCTCGTTCTCTCTGAAGCCTGTTCCATTAGGCGTCTGTTTGGGCTGAGGCAGGACACTTGGACTGGAAGGAGGTGACTTTGGAGGAACCCACTACCAAGTCTATTTGTGTAAAATGAGGAGCAGCACTCACAGGTCGGGTTTGGAGCGTTGCAGTCGTCTGTGTCGCAGCATGTGGTGTTTCTGAGGTAAGACCTGGAGCCATAGTCATAAGAAACAAACTCAGACCCTGCAGCTGTACAGACCGAGGGAAGAGCACAGCCTTTTCTGATCGTGCTGTAACTGGAGCTTCCATAATTGTAAGAACCTGAAACCAGAACAGAAACAGGTCACATCGGAAGAGTCCTCTCCAAGAACCAGGTCTGGACTGTGGACCAGAGCCAGACCCGCCCACTACAGACCTGTACCAACCAATCAGAGAGAGGCTCAGACATGCAGTGACCAATCAGAGGACAGTACTGTACCTGCGTAGGCATCAGTGAAACAGAAGGGGGCGAGTTTGGAGCAGGTCACCGAGCGCTGAGAAGAACATGACGAGTCTGTGCACGACAAACACTGTATCCCCAGATCTGAAAGAGACACAGGTTAGACCAGGACTGAACCAGGACTGAACCAGGACTGAACCAGGACTGAACTAGGACTGAACCAGGACTAACCTGGGACGTTGCAGTGGGAAGTGCTGCAGCAGGACACTGAGGTACTGAAGCCAAAATATCGTTGTGACAGGGTGGGGTTGTTGCACAGATTCTCAGAGACACAGCCGTAAAATGGACGGGATGGGTTATACCGGTCATCTGTAATGAAAGGTCAAAGTTCGGGCTGAAACGGGGGAGGTTGTGTAAGAGCAAGAAGTTTGTGAACTTGGAGAGGTGAACTTCCAGAGGAGTCTTGAGTCTACTAACTCATGGCTGAATGGAAGGAGCCCTGGTCACCGCCCACACCATTGGACAAAGTCTGTTTTAGGCAGATTTTTGGCCTCCAGGAAAGTTCAACATTCATGATGATGATGGTCTCTCTTGTCCTGTTGTATTTTGGTGAACTGGTGCATGAAACAGTAGAAGTGGATCTTTTGAACGGTACTCACCCACAGCCTGTCCACACACCTCCTGGGTGTTACAGCTCACATTGGCAGTGCATTCATAAGAGGAAGGATCACAGCTGTAACACTGCAGAGAGCCAACAGGGGGCGCCACAACTGAAACAAATGTGTGTTAAATGAGACATTTTCAAAGTGCAGAACATCAGCTGATAAGAGAGAATCACTCACTGGACTGATTCTGGTTGTTGCAGTTGTCTGTGTCGCAGCACGTGGTGTTTACAGCATAAGTGTTGGGGCCATAATTATAAGAAATAAACTCAGACCCTGCAGCTGTACAGTCTGAAGCAGAAGCACAGCCTTTTTCGGTGTAGGTGTAATTGTAGTTTCCATAGTTGTAGGAGGCTAAACACACAAAAGGAACAAATAAGAATCTCCTGAAGAGGGCAGTGCAGGTGCTGGTGCAGCACAACCTGAAAAAAACACATTCAGTCCCACACGCCTCTTTGGCCACTTCAACAAAGTGAGACATATTTGTGATTCAGATTTGATGTTAGTTTCTGTATTATCATGATCTGTATTATTTAATACATGTGTCCTTAAACCCTGTTTTTGTTGATTTGTTCAGAGTCTTGATGTTGAGGTGGAAGTGTCACAAGAGCAGAACAAGACCAAAACTAAAACTTTATTTAAGTTGATTAGTGAGAAAACCACAGACATGACCAATCAGAGACACACACATGCACTGTGAGCCAATCAGAGACACACACATGCACTGTGAGCCAATCAGAGACACACACATGCACTGTGAGCCAATCAGAGGAAGTCTTGTACCTGTGTAGGACCTGGAGAAACACGCTGTACTTAAATAGGAGCAGTCGACTAAACGCTGACTAGAGCCGGAGCCGCTCATGCACTGAAGTCTGGGAACTGTGAGAGAGAGAGACTGATGTCAGATACACACACATTGGCAGTACATTCATAAGAGTCTGGATCACAGCTGTAACACTGCAGAGAGCCAACAGGGGGCGCTGAAACAGAGAGGAGCAGTTGGACCTTTGAGAAAAATCTATGGGGTTTTAGTTTGGACATGTTTGTTTGGCTTCTCCATTGAACTGCCAACTGAGGGTTTATTCGGTGTCGGGTGCAAAGTGGACTAGGCGGCAGTTGAGGTCAGGGGCCTTTGCAATCAAATCCACGGGCACAGAACCTGGCGGTAGAGACATGGAACGTCACCTCGCTGGGGTTAAGGAGCCTGAGCTTGTGCAGGAGGTTGAGAGATACCGTCTAGATTTAGTCGGGCTCACGTCCACGCACAGCCTGGGCTCTGGTACCCAACCTCTTGAGAGTGGTTGGACCCTCCATTTTTCTGGTGATCGACTTTGTCTTCGTGTCATCTGACCTCCGCGTTCATCCCAGATGCTTCACACTCAGGTCAAACCGTCCCAGTGCTGCAGGTCCTGGTCTGATGAAGCCAAAAGGACAACATCATCTGCAAACAGCAGAGATGATCCTGTGGTCCCCAAACTGCACCCTCTGACCCCTGACAGCTGGCATGAGGACCAGCTCCTCCAAGTCTCAGGTCGTGGTTCTTGACCGGAAAAAAGTCGTCTTGTCGTCTCCGGGCAGGTGGAGAGTCTCTGCCTTAAGTGGAGGAGTTTAGGTCTGTTGGGGTCTTGTTCTGGAGTGAGGGGAGGATGGAGCGTGAGATTGACAGGTGGACAGGTGCAGCGTGGGCAGATTGACAGGTGGACAGGTGCATCGTGGGCGTGATGCGGTCGAAGTATCGGACGGTTGTGGTGAAGAGGAGCTGAGTCTGGATTTAGCGTCAGTCTCCGTTCCTCCCCTCACCTCTGGTCATGAGCTCTGGTCATGACCCGAAGGACCAGATCCACGATACAAGAGACACAGATGAGTTTCCTCCGCAGGACGTCCGGGCGTCTCCCTTAAAGACAGAGCTCGGAGCTCGGAGTAGAGCCGCTGCTCCTCCACGTGGAGAGGAGCGTCTGAGGGGAGGACGTCTGTTCTGATGTCTCCTGGACGTGTCCCTCAGGAGGTGTTCATGTCCCAACGGGAGGAGGCCCCGGGGAAGACCCAGGACACACTGGAGGGACGATGTCTCTGGACTGGACTGGGAGGAAGTGTGCATGGAAATGGAAGTCTGGGAGTCCCTGTTTAGACTGATGCCTCCGCGACCCAGCTTCAGATAAGAGGAAGAAAATGGATGGATGTTTGTTTGGGACTTTTTTAAATGCATTTTTTCATGATCTGCAATGACTAAAGATCATTTATATGTTTTTTTTCCCCTCTGAAGCCTGTTCCATTAGGCGTCTGTTTGGGCTGAGGCAGGACACTTGGACTGGAAGGAGGTGACTTTGGAGGAACCCACTACCAAGTCTGTTTGTGTAAAATGAGGAGCAGCACTCACAGGTCGGGTTTGGAGCGTTGCAGTCGTCTGTGTAGCAGCATGTGAAGTTTCTGATGTAAGACCTGTAGCCATAGTTGTAAGAAACATTCTGAGACCCTGCAGCTGTACAGACCGAGGGAGAAGCACAGCCTTTTCTGATTCCACTGTAGCTGGAGCTGTATCTTCCATAATCGTAATAACCTGAAACAAGGACAGAAACAGGTCAGATCTGAAGACACTTCTCCAAGAATCAGGTCTGGACTGTGGACCAGAGCCAGACCCGCCCACTACAGACCTGTACCAACCAATCAGAGAGAGGCTCAGACATGCAGTGACCAATCAGAGGACAGTACTGTACCTGCGTAGGCATCAGTGAAACAGAAGGGGGCGAGTTTGGAGCAGGTCACCGAGCGCTGAGAAGAACATGACGAGTCTGTGCATGTCGAACACTGTAACCCCAGATCTGAAAGAGACACAGGTTACTAAACCAGGATTGAAAAAGGACTAACCTGACTTCCGGTTGAGGCACAGACATGGCAGCTGTGTAGTGGGTCAGCTCTCCGACTAAAAGTCAAAAACCCCTCGAAGACCAAATTATTTTCGAATTTTACAAAATTCAAGATTAAACTTTACCAAGGGGATTTGTAATATGAATAGGAGAAGACCAAGAAAGGCGGAAAGTAACACGGTAAATGACATCGAAGAAAGGAACAATCTGCCCGAGCTAACTGCCATAACGCAGTTAGCAGAGAGCGAACCGTCTAAGCTAACAAACAAGGGACATGCGAATGAAAACATGTCAGACCTGATAACTGTGCTTCGTGAAATAAGAGAGTTTTGTCAAGAACATACAGAGTCATTTAAGAAGTTGAAAGATGATATCAGAAAAACAAATATCAGAATTGAGCAGGCAGAACAACGCATTGTAGAGGCGGAGGAGCGTATTCAGAGCATCGAGGACGTGACTTTTGAGCTTTTGGAGCTGCAAAAACAGTTCAAATCCAGATTAGTAGATCAGGAGATTCGCACCAGAAGAGACAATATCAGGATCCATGGGGTGAAAGAAGGCGCAGAAGAAAAGGCACGATCAATGATCGACTACATTGAGTCCCTCCTAATAGTAAAGGTAGATCTTGAACCAACACTTGAACTCAACATTAAAAGAGCTCACCGCTCGGCGGGTCCGCACCCACTAGCAGATGCCCCGCCACGCTCGATTGTGGTAAAACTGCTAAGTTACAGAAGCAAAGAAGCTATCATCATGGCGGCAGGGCAGAAAAAAGGATTTGAGATGGAGGGAAGGAAGGTAATCATTGATCATGATTATGCTCCGGAAATTCTGAGACAGCGGAAGCAGTATTCAGAGGCAAAGAAAGTGTTAAAGGAAAAGAAAATACTCTTTCAGATGCCATTTCCAGCTAAACTCTGAGTGTTTTACGATGACAGTACGCAGACTTACAACATGGTGGCAGAGGCAACCAGAGACATGAACGAGAGGGGATACAGGCTTACCGTGGTAACCCCAGCGGAGGATTGTTTTGAGAAAATGAAGAGACTCACGTGGCGAGCAGATGAAGGAAGACGTCAGGCGAATACAAGACCCAGGTTCAACAGGAGACCCTCACAGAATGAATAACTGAGAGTACATTAACAATGTAAGGGCGTCAAAACGAGAAGGTAATTAGTCTCAAAATGTTTCTTATTTCTCCATTTAGAATAAGCTACAGTCGGAACTGTCTCTCAGAACTGCCAATAGAGGAATGTTTTGTACGATACAGACAAAGGGGGCCCTCTGGTGGCGTAGATCCAGAGGCTATTCCTCCGAGCACCTGTTGTGCTCACTTAGGGTCCTTACGATGACCTCAGATTTGGAAGTGTTTTTGTTTTATTTTTCTGAGATATGTTATTTTAAAGTTGAAGTTTTACTGTTTTGTGTTATTCGTTCTTTTGATAGCATGGGGGGGAAAGTGGAATTGTGAATTTTTTTTAATATGGCTTTTCAAAGCAACTTAATTAAATTATCAACTTATAATGAGAATGGCATTTTCAGCCCAGTAAAAAGAAGTAAAATTCTTAGCTAAATGAAGAAAGAAGGGGTGGGAGTGGTTTTCTTGCAGGAAACTCACCTGACAGAAAAAGAGCATGCTAATTTGAAGAGAAAGGGATATTCTCAGGTTTATGCTGCATCATATAAAACTTGCCACAGAAGTGGAGTGGCCATATTAATATCATGTAAAATACCATTTCAAAAATTGTCTGTTATAACTGATAAAGAAGGAAGGTATGTCCTGGTTAAGGGAAGACTTGAGGGAATTTTAATTAGTTTCCTAAATATATATGCACCTCCTGGTTCAGACTGGACCTTCTACAGACAGCTTTTTGATTTGATAACTGCTGAAGGGGAGGGAGTATTGGTGGCTGGAGGCGACTTAAATCAAAGGCAAAATTTTCAGCTTGACACATCAACAGGAGCACCCTCAAAAATGGGAATTGCTAAAAAAAATTAAGGACATGATGGTAGAAATAGGAATGATGGATGTTTGGAGAGAATTACATCCAACAACCAAAGATTTTACATTTTACTCCTCTCCACATAATAATTACTCAAGAACAGATTACATTTTGATGTATAAAAATTATAGACACAGAGTGGAAAATTGTGAAATAGGGGTGATGAATTTATCTGATCATTGTCCTGTATATGTGACTCTACATTTGACCCCAGAGAAAAAGAAAACACTGTGGAGACTTAAGTCTGTTAAAAGGACACATAAAAGAGGAGCTTAAAGCTGACATACAAAATTATTTTAATGAGAATGATAGTAGGGAAGTGACACCACTGGTGCTCTGGGATGCACTTAAAGCTGTGCTAAGGGGTAAAATTAATGCCAAATCAGCATTCCTTAAAAAACAAAGGCAAAGAAGACTTGAGGATCTGCAGTCAGAATTAAAACATCTAGAACAACAACAAACAAAATCCAATGAGTGACTTATATGAAAATATGTGGAGGGAAAAAGCAGAGATAGATGAACTGTACTCCATAGAAATACAACCAAAAATAATGTTCACAAAACAAAAATATTATGAAGTAGGAGGTAAATCAACAAAATTATTGGCTTACAAATTAAAGAAGGAACAGTGAAGACATAATATTTATAAGATAAGGCATCCTCATACTAAAGAACTAAAATATAAAACTGAAGATATTCAAAAATGTTTTGAGTTATATTATACAAATCTCTATACAAAACCAACATTGGAAAATTCAACAGGAAGTGAATCGTTCTTGGATGGGCTGATTTTACCAAAAGTCACAGATGAGCAGAATCTGTGTCTTGTGGCAGAGATTACTGTGCAGGAAACTGATTTGGCAATTTCAAACTTAAAGACTAATAAATCCCCAGGAGCAGACGGATACACCTCGGAGTGGTACAAGACATTTTGAGAGTTATTAATTCCAGTGTTACAGAAACCTCTTAATTGGGTATTGCAAAAAGGGGAAATGCCCCATTCATGGCACGAGGCTATAATATCAATGATTCCAAAAGAAGGAAAGGATGAGCTTGGAACGTTCCAATTACAGACCTATCAGTGTTCTTAACCAGGACTACAGACTGTTCACTGCAGTTTTAGCCCGGCGTATGGAAAAGATCTTGCCAGATATAATTGAATTAGATCAGACTGGGTTTATAAAAGAAAGGCAGACCTGTGATAATATTAGACGGTCCCTACATGTGATGCAGCATATTCATGACAAAAGCATGGAAGCAATTATTATGGGGATGGATGCTGAGAAGGCATTTGATTCTGTTAGTTGGGACTTTCTGTATAGAGTGTTAAAAAAATTCAACTTTGATTAAAAAAATTATTAGAACTATACAAGCACTGTACAGGGAGCCAACAGCAAGGGTAAGGGTCAATGGGAGTCTATCTAATAATATTGTTTTAAACCGTAGATGTAGGCAGGGCTGTTCAGCTAGTCCCCTCTTGTTCGCTATATTTCTTGAACCCCTTAGCCAGTCAATAAAACAAAATGAGAAAATACAGGGTATAGATATGATGGGCAAGGTGCAAAAGCTAGCACTGTTTGCAGATGATGTTTTGATATATCTATCTAATCCTAATACATCATTACCAGCAATTATGTCAGAATTTGAGAAATTTGGACAATTATTGGGCTACAAAATAAATGTACAAAAAACGCAGGTTCTTACTTTTAATTACAACCCTGCTGACAATATAGAAACTACTTATTAATTGGAATTTAAAATAAATAAATATCTAGTTGTAAATCTGACAAAAGATTTGAGTCAAACTTGAAAGCAGCCAATTATGAGCCATTCTTATTTAAAATAAAACAAGATGTAGAGAGGTGGAACTTAATACCTTTTATGGCAGTTGCTTCAAGAGCTGAAGTTATAAAAATAAATATTCTTCCCAGATTATTGTACCTTTTTCAGACCTTGTCAGTGGAGCTAACAAGCAATGAATTTATTGAATGGGATAAATTTATCTCAAAGTATATTTGGCAAGGAAAAATACTGAGAATAAAATACAGAACACTACAGTTGTCTAAGGGAAATGGAGGATTAGCCCTACCCTGTTCGAAAAGTTATTAACAGGTAGCTCAAATGAAACATCTGCAATAAAATACAGGGAATACCCATTCAAGCACTAATTGGGGATAACAAACTATATAATAAAGTTAGTGGTAAAATGTATCAAGTTGTTCAAATTTCATTGAAAGTATGGTTTGAGATAGCTACAAAGAATAACTTGATACAGTTTTGTAAGTTGTTAAGATGGGTGGGATACGATTCAGATTTTATACCCAATAGGAATGATCAGCGATTTAAAACATGGAAACATGGTCCACGTATGTGGTGGGAATTACTGATGAATAACAAATGCAAAGGTTTTCAAGAGATCAAGGAACAATTCGGGCTATCAAATCAAGATTTCTACAGATTCTTACAATTAAGGCATTATTTGGAGCATGACATAATAAGGGATAATTATGAAGGAGAATCAGAAATTATTAATTTGTTTATATTAGCTCACAAGTCTAAACTAAGTACAAATAATTATTTCAAAGATATATATTGGGTTGGAAAATTTAAAAATGGATGATACACAATACATAAGGAAGAACTGGAATGTGGAAGCTAATATTAGCCTAACAGAAGAAGATTGGAAAGAGATTACTCAAAATATTTGGAAAACAACATCATCTTTAATGTGCAGGGAATATGGGTGGAAAAATCTGGTGAGATTTTTCAGAGCACCAGCTCAGACAAAATATCGAGACACAAGAAGTTGGAGACAGTGTGGGGAAATGGTGGCAGTCATATACACATTTTCTGGACATGGCCCCTAATACCATTTTATTGGAAAGAATTGAAGAACGTTATGGACAAGGTCCTGCATACTGACCTCCCTTTTACCTGCGAATTCTTTTATTTTGACAAATTAGATGCAAATGTTAAAAACAAAATCCATTTTAAGATATTTAAAATCATGATGCTAGCAGCAAATAAAAGTATTACAAGGAAATGGTTAAATGCTGAAGCATTGACAAAAGACAACTGGTTTGATGTACTCCACAATATTTATGTTATGGAGAAATGAACTTATGCTCTAAGATTAGAAACAGGGAAATTTGAAAAGACATGGAAGGGTTGGCTGAGTTTGGATTTTATTTGAGTGCTCATTTCCCCAATGTTCTGTTCGCTACCAAATTGAGTTTTCTGTTAGTTTTTAAATTTTTATTTTAATTATTTTCTTTCTCTCTTTTCAATATAGTACTAAAAATCTGTATTTTATTTGGAAGATTTACTTTAAGACCGTGTTTGATCCTTAAACAATATTTCCATATGTGTAAGTGTAATTATTGTCTTGGAAAATTAATAAACAAATAATTGAAAAAAAAAAAGAAAAAGGACTTACCTGGGACGTTGCAGTGGGAAGTGTTGCAGCAGGACACTGAGGTACTGAAGCCAAAATATTGTCGTGACAGGTTGGTGTTGTTGCACAGATTCTCAGAGACACAGCCGTAAAATGGACGGGATGGGTTATACTGGTCAACTGTAACGAAAGGTCAGAGGTCGGGCTGAATCGGGGGGAGGTTGTGTAAGAGCAAGAAGTTTGTGAACTTGGAGAGGTGAACTTGGAGAGGAGTCCTGATTCTTCCAGTAAAACAATGCACCTGCCTGAGGAGACTGTGCTTGAGTGTTTAGTGACTCAACTCATATTATGTCGTGAGGGGCGAGGCGCAGGGTTCCAAACTGCAAACTTTGACAATGAATTTGTTAAACTCGGGAAGAACAGCTAAGATAAAAGACTGATTTACTGATCAATAAATCTCCACAGGATCTATACTAACTCATGGCTGAATGGAAGGAGCCCAGGTCACCGCCCACAACCATTGGACAAAGTCTGTTTTTAGGTGGAGTTTTGGCCTCCAGGAAAGTTCAACATTCATGATGATGATGGTCTCTCTTGTCCTGTTGTATTTTGGTGAACTGGTGCATGAAACAGTAGAAGTGGATCTTTTGAACTGGTACTCACCCACAGCCTGTCCACACACCTCCTGGGTGTTACAGCTCACATTGGCAGTGCATTCATAAGAGGAAGGATCACAGCTGTAACACTGCAGAGAACCAACAGGGGGCGCTGAAACAGAGAGGAGCAGTTGGACCTTTGAGAAAAGTCTATGGGGTTTTAGTTTGGACATGTTTTTTTGGGGATTTTTTTTTCATTATCTACAGTGATTAAATATTATTTATTTCTATGTTTCTTGCTGCTCGTTCTCTCTGAAGTCTGTTCCATTAGGCGTCTGTTTGGGCTGAGGCAGGACACTTGGACTGGAAGGAGGTGACTTTGGAGGAACCCACTACCAAGTCTATTTGTGTAAAATGAGGAGCAGCACTCACAGGTCGGGTTTGGAGCGTTGCAGTCGTCTGTGTCGCAGCATGTGGTGTTTCTGAGGTAAGACCTGGAGCCATACTCATAAGAAACAAACTCAGACCCTGCAGCTGTACAGACCGAGGGAAGAGCACAGCCTTTTCTGATCCCACTGTAACTGGAGCCTCCATAATTGTTATAACCTTAAACCAGAACAGAAACAGGTCAGATCTGAAGAGACTTCTCCAAAAACCAGGTCTGGACTGTGGACCAGAGCCAGACCCGCCCACTACAGACCTGTACCAACCAATCAGAGAGAGGCTCAGACATGCAGTGACCAATCAGAGGACAGTACTGTACCTGCGTAGGCATCAGTGAAACAGAAGGGGGCAAGTTTGGAGCAGATAACCAAGCGCTGAGAAGAACATGACGAGTCTGTGCACGACAAACACTGTGACCCCAGATCTGAAAGAGACACAGGTTAGACCAGGACTGAACCAGGACTGAACCAGGACTGAACCAGGACTGAAACAGCACTAACCTGGGACGTTGCAGTGGGAAGTGTTGCAGCAGGACACTGAGGTACTGAAGCCAAAATATTGTCGTGACAGGTTGGTGTTGTTGCACAGATTCTCAGAGACACAGCCGTAAAATGGACGGGATGGGTTATACTGGTCAACTGTAACGAAAGGTCAGAGGTCGGGTTGAATCTGGGGAGGTTGTGTAAGAGCAAGAAGTTTGTGAACTTGGAGAGGTGAACTTGGAGAGGAGTCCTGATTCTTCCAGTAAAACAATGTACCTGCCTGAGGAGACTGTGCTTGAGTGTTTAGTGACTCAACTCATATTATGTCGTGTGGGGCGAGGCGCAGGGTTCCAAACTGCAAACTCTGGCAATGAATTTGTTAAACTCGGGAAGAACAGCTAAGATAAAAGACAGATTTACTGATCAATAAATCTCCACAGGATCTATACTAACTCATGGCTGAATGGAAGGAGCCCTGGTCACCGCCCACACAGTTGGACAAAGTCTGTTTTTAGGCGGATTTTTGGCCTCCAGGAAAGTTCAACATTCATGATGATGATGGTCTCTCTTGTCCTGTTGCATTTTGGTGAACTGGTGCATGAAACAGTAGAAGTGGATCTTTTGAACTGGTACTCACCCACAGCCTGTCCACACACCTCCTGGGTGTTACAGGTCACATTGGCAGTGCATTCATAAGAGGAAGGATCACAGCTGTAACACTGCAGAGAACCAACAGGGGGCGCCACAACTGAAACAAATGTGTGTTAAATGAGACATTTTCAAAGTGCAGAACATCAGCTGATAAGAGAGAATCACTCACTGGAATGATTTTCGTTGCAGTTGTCTGTGTCGCAGCACGTGGTGTTTACAGCATAAGTGTTGGGGCCATAATTATATGAAATAAACTCAGACCCTGCAGCTGTACAGACTGAAGCAGAAGCACAGCCTTTATAGCTGTAGGTGTAATTGTAGTTTCCATAGTTGTAGGAGGCTAAACACACAAAAGGAACAAATAAGAAAGAGGGCAGTGCAGGTGCTGGTGCAGCACAACCTGAAAAAAACACACACAATTCAATTCACACACGAGGAGGAGAAAGACGGAGCCATATCGTTTCTGGACATTAAAATCCACCACATTGCAGACAGCGGCATCAAAATTACTGTATACCGGAAACCCACACACACCGACCAATATCTGCTCTGGACATCCAAACATCCCACTGCACACAAACTTTCAGTAGTAAGAACATTATTCGAACGGGCCACACTCATCACAGACCGACAGAGAAGAAGAGGAGAGACACGTCACACAAACACTCAAACAATGTCAATATCCCAGCTGGACCATAAACAAAAGCAGACAACAAGTTATCAATAAAACCAACAAACCCCGGAAAAAAACACAACAATCCAACACAGGGCAGCAGGACAAGAACATAGTCACACTACTGAACATCAGAAGAACAACTGAACCATCCAGAGAGACATGAAAAAACACAACAGAAACACTGGAGTCAAACCAAACACAAAACTCCGTCAACAGCTCGTACACCCCAAGGACAAAATCCCACAAGAACAAAAATGCAACACCATCTACGAAATTCAATGCAAATCATGCAATAAATCACACATAGGGGAAACAGGCCGAGCATTTCACATCCGAAAAAAGGAACACCAAAAGGAATGCGAAAAGGAAACGTCAGGGAGACTCACCAGAACACAAAAAGACAAAGCAGAACAGGAAAACCTAAAATCCTCCACATCAGACACTGTAAAAGGAACAACCACATTATGGATCAGGTCGGGGCTCAGGTCATCGGATCGGAAAACAACAAGTTCAAACGCTGGATCAAGGAGAACAGTGAAATCAGGAAACGAGGCACGGACAGAATTAACTGCGGCGCGTTCCTCCTTTCACACACCTGGGACACCCTCCTCCAGAGACACCGGGTGATGGGAGGCGTGGTCAGTCTGAGCCACCTGCCAGGTCCATCAGGTCTGACCACGTCTACAGGAAGTAACAACAGTTGATATACGACACGTCCACACCAACACCAGGACAATTCTGAAGATGCAGCAGCCAAAACATGTCAACAAGGTCAATACACTTTACTGCATCGTCTTTAAAAAGAACCTAAGAAGTTACTGAAAAAACACATTCAGTCCCACACGCCTCTTTGGCCACTTCAACAAAGTGAGGCATATTTGTGATTCAGATTTGATGTTAGTTTCTGTATTATCATGATCTGTATTATTTAATACATGTGTCCTTAAACCCTGTTTTTGTTGATTTGTTCAGAGTCTTGATGTTGAGGTGGAAGCGTCACAAGAGCAGAACAAGACCAAAACTAAAACTTTATTTAAGTGGAGTTGAGAGAAAACCACAGACATGAACAATCAATGAGAGACACACACATGCACTGTGAGCCAATCAGAGGAAGTCTTGTACCTGTGTAGGACCTGGAGAAACACGCAGTAGTTTGATAGGAGCAGTTGACTAAACGCTGACTAGAGCCGGAGCCGCTCATGCACTGAAGTATGGGAACTGTGAGAGAGAGAGACTGATGTCAGATACACACACATTGGCAGTACATTCATAAGAGTCTGGATCACAGCTGTAACACTGCAGAGAGCCAACAGGGGGCGCTGAAACAGAGAGGAGCAGTTGGACCTTTGAGAAAAATCTATGGGGTTTTAGTTTGACATGTTTGTTTGGCTTCTCCATTGAGCTGCCAACTGAGGGTTTATTCAGTGTCGGGTGCAAAGTGGACTAAGCGGCAGTCGGGGTTGGGCTTCGGCAACCTAGTCCACAGGCACAGAACCTGGCATGGGACATGGAACCTCACCTTGCTGGGGGGAAAGAGCCTGAACTTGTGCAAGAGCTGCAGGTCCTGGTCTAATGAAGCCAACAGGACAACATCATCTGCAAACAGCAGAGATGATCCTGTGGTCCCCAAACTGCACCCTCTGACCCCTGACAGCTGTGATGAAGATCAGCTCCTCCAAGTCTCAGGTCGTGGTTCTGGACCAGAAAAAGTCATCGTCTCCGGGCAGGTGGAGAGTCTCTGCTTCAAGTGGAGGAGTTTAGGTCTGTCGGGGTCTTGTTCTCGAATGAGGGGAAGATGGAGCGAGAGACTGACAGGTGGACAGGTGGACAGGTGCAGCGTGGGCAGCAGGTGGACAGGTTGACAGGTGGACAGGTGGAGCGTGGGCAGCGTGGGCAGGTTGACAGGTGGACAGGTGCAGCGTGGGCAGTGATGCGGTCGCTGTATCGGTCGTTGTGGTGAAGAGGAGCTGAGTCTGGATTTAGTGTCAGTCTCTGTTCCTCCCCTCACCTCTGGTCATGACCCGAAGAACCAGATCCACGATACAAGAGACACAGATGAGTTTCCTCCGCAGGGCAACCGGGCGTCTCCCTTAAGCCTTAGTCACAATAACCCGCATGGGTCCCCACGGGCAGTTTACGGGTGATTTTTGGCCAAGTCTGTATGAGGTTCGCAAGTGGCCCATACAAGATTCCAAGTTCGTAGACGCCTGCTGAGCGTCTGAGGGAGGGAATGTTCATGTACATTTTTCCTGCGAGCAGCCTATGGGCAGCAGCTCGTAGCAAGCACATAGCTCTCACTTACGGGGGAAGTAAGGGGCAAGTACGCATCACGCAGGTGTGTCGTACAGGTTTTTCCATCTTCTCACACCACGAATTCCTGCGGCTCATGCACGGGTCCCAGACGGGCCATTTGTGTCGTTCGTACAGTTCACGTGCATGCCTCGTGCGAGCTACCATGGTGGCGCGACCCGTATAAAAGCTGATGCGATGCCTGTGCCTCCATTCTCTCTCTCTCTCTCTGTGTCTCTTTGTCTTTTCTCTCTCTCAGAGAACGCCGCCGCCTTCTCTCTCTTTCTTCCTGGACACAGTTGCGAGCCAACGCCCCCACTACACCTTCTTGTTCCTCTTCATCCTCCTGCTCTATTAGTTGTAAGAGCCGCCTTGGCATCGCCCTGGTTGAACGATGGATGAGTACGATGTGATGAAGTGGTGATGACGAGCCCAGTATTATATAACACGGCGACAAGAGCCACATCTCATAAGACTGTCGCACGGGCCATGTAAGAGACTTGTACTTGCCCCATACAAATGACTAGAGTGCGTTGCAAGTGGCCCGTACAAGATTTTGACTTGTACGTGACCCTTGTGTGGCACTTAAGTCTGGCTTACTATTGCCTCACGGCAGTCTTATGACCCGCACGACACTCGCATGCCCCACTTTGTCAAAATTTCTCCCAGGGTCCCGTACAAGTCTCATGGGACCTGCAAGCCACACTTGCACCACCCTTACAAAGCACTTAGAAAACTCTCTCTCCTCTACGGAACCCCATGGGCCGCCACGGGAATCCATGACCCGTACGGGTGAATCGCCCTTGTGGGTTATTGTGACTAAGCCTTTAGAGATCGGGTGAGGAGCTCGGAGTAGAGCCACTGCTCCTCCACGTGGAGAGGAGCGGCTGAGGGGAGGACATCTGTCCTGATGCCTCCTGCATTTTTTCATTATCTATAATAATTTAATATTATTTATTTCTATGTTTCTTGCTGCTCGTTCTCTCTGAAGTCTGTTCCATTAGGCGTCTGTTTGGGCTGAGGCAGGACACTTGGACTGGAAGGAGGTGACTTTGGAGGAACCCACTACCAAGTCTATTTGTGTAAAATGAGGAGCAGCACTCACAGGTCGGGTTTGGAGCGTTGCAGTCGTCTGTGTCGCAGCACGTGGTGTTTCTGATGTAAGAACTGTAGCCATAGTCATAAGAATAAACCTGAGACCCTGCAGCTGTACAGACCGAGGACGAAGCACAGCTTTTTTGGAACCTGCTGTAGCTGTAGCTTCCGTAACTGTAACCTGAAAACCAGAACAGAAACAGATCAAATCTGAAGAGACTTCTCCAAGAACCAGGTCTGGACTGTGGACCAGAGCCAGACCCGCCCACTACAGAACTGTACCAACCAGAGAGAGGCTCAGACATGCAGTGACCAATCAGAGGACAGTACTGTACCTGCGTAGGCATCAGTGAAACAGAAGGGGGCAAGTTTGGAGCAGGTCACCGAGCGCTGAGAAGAACATGACGAGTCTGTGCACGTCAAACACTGTAACCCCAGATCTGAAAGAGACACAGGTTAGACCAGGACTGAACCAGGACTGAAACAGGACTGAACCAGGACTGAAAAAGGACTTACCTGGGACGTTGCAGTGGGAATTGTTGCAGCAGGACACTGAGGTACTGAAGCCAAAATATTGTCGTGACAGGTTGGTGTTGTTGCACAGATTCTCAGAGACACAGCCGTAAAATGGACGGGATGGGTTATACTGGTCAACTGTAACGAAAGGTCAGAGGTCGGGCTGAATCAGGGGAGGTTGTGTAAGAACAAACTTTTTTTTTATCCTTTTAAATTCCATATCCTTCCACTTTGCTTTATAAACCTCATTACATTAATAAAGAAGTGGCACCAACTGGGAAGCATCGAAATCGTATCTTAAACAGGGAAGGGCCATCCCTCCTTTCTCTTTTCTTAATTGCATTGTACTGTACTTTACCCTAAGCTCCTTTCATTGCCAAATAAAAGTACCAAATAAAGGTACCTCTACTGGACGTGTTCAAAACAAATATAGCAATTTTGGTTGTATTGTCATTTTGATTGAATTTACTGTGTAGGTTAAACTTAAAAATGGGATAAGATTCCATCTGTGCAAATCTTCTTTTATCGCTAGTGACAATGGGTCATAGTTTGGTAGATCTTTAGTAATTGTGACCCCCAAATTTTATTCCTTTATTCTCCCAGTTTATACATTTCCTCTAAATTAGCTGAAACAGTGAAATTTAAGGCCATCACCTGTGTTTTAAAAATATTAATCTGATGCATTTCCAATTCACTCAACATAATCATCAACCCATTAAAGGAATTCTTCATTTCCTCCATATAAACTAGTAACCAGGCTGGTGCCACCTAGTGCCTCCGCTCAGTTTCATTTCTCTCCAGCGACTAGGTCAGGAATCAGAAAACACTAGACTGTTTACAAAAACTCCAGAAGTGCGAGTTTAGGCACCAGCCAATCAGCAAAGAGACAGACATTCTGTATTGGCAACGATTCCCAAGATCAAGGATTTAAAGTCAGAATAAAGAGAATGTTTGGTGAATTTTATCAAGGGGAAAGACGTTATTGTTCTTCTTCCTATGGGATTTGGGAAAAGTTTAATATACCAGTTAGCCCCATTAGCGGTGCGATACATACGTCATGACCAAACAGCAGCGACCGGTTAAATAAAAACTGTTGAGCGAACGAATCCTAATGCTGCGAGGACACACGGTTTGTACGAAGTGAAACCGGCTCATGAATCAGGCTAGTAAACTAGTACATCATCTGCAAACATTGACACCTTGTGTTCAACTTTCGCGATTGTCACACTTTTAACCTGGGAACTTTGTCTTATTAACTGTCCAAGAGGCTCGATAAATGGAACAAATAAAAGGGGAGATACAGGGCAGCCCTGTCTACTTCCTCTTTCCCTCTGGAATGAGTCTGAGATCCCCACTGATCTTCGTCTGCGCAGCTGATTTTCAAATATATTGATTGAATCACTCTGATAAAGGAATCATGGAAAGCTAATTTGCTCATTATTTTATAGAGAAAAAGTCAGCTTACAGAATCAAAGGCCTTTTCTGTGTCTAACCCTGCTCTTAATGAGGCAGTTTTTGATTGTGTTACATGGTCTACAGGATGGAGTGACCTCCTGATATTGTCCAGTGTTTGTCTGTGATGTATAAATCCTGTCTGATCTAGACTGATTATCTCTGGAAAAATATTTTCTAATCGAAGGAATCATATGGAAGTAAATAGTTTATAGTCCACATTAAAGACAGTTAGCGGTCTATAATTTCCACATTTTTGTTTGTCTTTATTTTCTTTTGGGAAAATTAAAATAATGCCTGTGTGTTTGCTGCGCGTGTGCTGTGCTGCTGCACTTACGCTGTTACTGCTTTGGTGTAAATTGGGGGTAAATGTCCCTCCTCTACGTCAGAACACAGTAGAAGTGGATCTTTTGAACTGTACTCACCCACAGCCTGTCCACACACCTCCTGGGTGTTACAGGTCACATTGGCAGTGCATTCATAAGAGGAAGGATCACAGCTGTAACACTGCAGAGAACCAACAGGGGGCGCCACAACTGAAACAAATGTGTGTTAAATGAGACATTTTCAAAGTGCAGAACATCAGCTGATAAGAGAGAATCACTCACTGGGCTGATTCTGGTTGTTGCAGTTGTCTGTGTCGCAGCACGTGGTGTTTACAGCATAAGTGTTGGGGCCATAATTATATGAAACAAACTCAGACCCTGCAGCTGTACAGTCTGAAGCAGAAGCACAGCCTTTATAGGTGTAGTTGTAGGTGTAACTGTAGTCTCCATAATCGTAGGAGCCTAAAGACACAAAAGGAACAAATAAGAATCTCCTGAAGAGGGCAGTGCAGGTGCTGGTGCAGCACAACCTGAAAAAAACACATTCAGTCCCACACGCCTCTTTGGCCACTTCAACAAAGTGAGACATATTTGTGTTTGAACTCCACTGGCTCCTCGTAAAACACCACATTCAATACAAGGTCGTCCTCATCACCTACAAGTCCCTCTATAACCTGACCCCACCCGATCTCACCCACCTCCTCCATCTGCTCTGTCCCACCCACCGCCTCAGCCCACACCAACCTCCTCACTCCCCTCACCAGGACAAAGCACCTCCTCACTCCCCTCACCAGGACAAAGCACCTCCTCACTCCTCTCACCAGGACAAAGCACCTCCTCACTCCCCTCAGCAGGAAAAAGCAAGAAAAGCACCTCCTCACTCCCCTCATTAGGACAAAGTATTGATCCTTCGCCGTGGATCTTTGCCCCTCTCTCTGGAACTCACTTCCACAATCCATCAGGAACTCGAACTCACTGCAGCTCTTCAAATCACTTCTAAAAACTCACCTGTTCAAACTGACTGATTCCCTCCATGATTCCCCCGTTGTCGACAGTGTCACGTCTTTTTTGTTTGTAAAGTGTCTTTGAATCCAAAAAAGCGCGATATAAGTCTGATGTGTTATTATTGTGAATGTTCAGCAGTGAGAAGCACATGAAGCACTCTCCCTTTTCCAAACACAGTGGCACTCATGTCATCGACTGGTGCCCACTGACATGGCACGGTGTCATCGCCCTAATTGTTATTGTTCACCCCAAAACACAGGGCACATTTGACAATATGCACCTCGTGCACGATGAAAACATAGTGTGAAGCACTCTTCCCTTATCAAACACTCAATGCCACTCAACAGTGACACTCATGGAATCCAGTGGTGTCCAGAAAGGAAACATTTGTCTGACTAAGAAATCATCCCGAGTTTACAGAGAACATTTTGTATGTGGAGCGACGACAAAACAAAATCCTGTTTGTTAATGTAGAGGAGCAGAAGACAAACAGACTGAGCTGCACTTTCTTGTTCTTGTGGTTTTACACAAACATCACGTCTTGGTCTTTGCAGTGGAAGGTGTTTCTTGGTGAACAGTTGGAGACTTTCACTTTGGTGTTGACTTTTTAAATTCATTATTAAGGTTGAACGAAGGATCATGATTTTGTTTTGTCGTCGCTCCACATACAAAATGTTCTCTGTAAACTCGGGATGATTTCTTAGTCAGACAAATGTTTCCTTTTTGGTTCTTCCTGTGGATCAATCCTGCCCATCACCTTCACCTTTCACTTTTTTTCAATTCTGCTGGGAAGAGAAACTGTTTAAATGGAGGTTTGCAGTCATTATATCAATTATGAAGTTCACAAACACATTTCTCGAGTCGTTTTCCGCTGTTAGGATCCAACAACCACAGAATTACGACGTCTGAATCCCAAAACTAAAATATGACAATATCAGAACCAGAAACAAAAGTGATATGGTTCAAAAGACTTGATGAAAATCCTTCCCAGTTTGAATTACACAATGACTGTATGTTTGAAATTTAGGATGCATGTATTATCACAGGTGGTTGAGAAACATCTGTAAAAACATCTCTAAACTCATCTGAGGGGAGAGATTTTCTTTGTAAATCACAGGAGAGCAGTGAGCTCCTTCAGTCTCTGGTTCTGTTCTTCTTCTTCTCTGGTTCTGTTGGGCTGCAGGTGGACGCTCTGCTCTCACCTTTATCATCAAAACCTGTTCACTGATGATGTCAGCTGAAGGAATGTACTTCTTGCTATGAAAGAACTCATTGTCTTATGTTTTGTGTTTTTACAGAAAGTACAAATTAAATCTTGTGTATTCAGTTAATTACTTGGCGTTACCTGGTGGAACAGGTTTGGGTGCAGCTGCAGAGTCCATGACCTACTGACTGTCACAGGACAAAACCAGAGACTTTCTTTAACACATAAACTGTGAAAAACAAGACCAAAGACCCGAGCACCCGGAGGAGACCAGGTGCACCCGGAGGAGACCAGGTGCACCCGGAGGAGACCAGGTGCACCCGGAGGAGACCAGGTGCACCCGGAGGAGACCAGGTGCACCCGGAGGAGACCAGGTGCACGATTGGCCGAGAGCAGAGGACACGTGTCTCACTGTGATAACTGAGCACCTTCTCTGCCAAAAGTGCGTAAACGTGTGAAAAATACGAGTGTGGACGAATGTATTTAGATTTGCTGATAAACTTAGAGGATGTGATGAGAAAAGAGGCTGGTCCCTCCGTCCTGCAGCAGCTCCAGCAGCGTGAGAAGAACCACTGACAGAATCACAGACACAGCTCTTTGTTTGTCTGGAGAAGATCATCTGAAACAGTGTCTCCCTTTAACCAAGTCTGGGATTATTCGAGTTCTTCATGATCTGGAAGCACAGGATCTGCTGTCTAAACTTGAACGTGCTGCAGACGGAAACCAGCTTCCTGAACTAGAATCTGGTCGGAGCGTCTCATAAAACACTGTTGCTAAAACTCACAGTCCGTTCACATAAAGAGCTGTACGTGAGAAATGTGCAGTTACCGGCGTAAGTCCTGGAGACACACTGGCTCTGTCCCGACGAGCAGATCTGTGACGTCTGAGAAGAACACGAAGAACCTTTACAGGACCAGCACTGCAGACCAGCAGCTGCAAGAGACCAGACCAGGTTCAACAAGGACTAAAACAGGACTAAAACAGGACATAGTTTACACAAACCCGTCTGAACATAACAAGACTTAAAGATGTCTAAATTTTAAATCACACAGAGTGACCCAGAGCTTTTAAGTGACGCTCACAACAGACACTATTCTCTCTCTTCTCTGCCGGGTCATATTTTTTTGGGACCTTTAAAATTTACTAAAATGGTGAAAATGTATTTTGTTGTGTTAAAATTGTTGTGTCTGAGGATTAGATGAAGCGTCGTTTCAGTACAAAAAATGGTCATTCTTACAAATCTAAACCTGAAAACAGGTCAGTTTTGACACGAAGACAATGTAAGACTAAAGCAGGACCTAAACAAGGTCTAAAACAAGAATTAAACAAGGACTAAACAAGGACTAAACAAGGTCTTGTTTAGACCTTGTTTAAAGCAGTAGTAAAGAAGGAGTAAAGACAGACTAAAACAAGACTAAACAAGTTCTAAAACAAGACTAAAGAAGGAATAAAGACGGACTAAAGCAAGACTAAACCAGTACTAAATCAGGACTAAAACAAGACATAATTTACACAAACCCGTCTGAACGTAACTTGACTTAAATGTGTCTAAACCCAAATTTAAATCCCACAAATACCTGAGTGGACGCAGATGAACAGAGCCACCAGAGTCAAGAGCTTCACAGACGTCTTCATCATCCTGCTCCTGTCTGTCCCTGTCGGCTCTTCTGACTCTTCTCTGGCTCTGCTCCTCTTTATACCTGGGCTGTGTGGTTGGTGAGTTGGGCGGCAGGTGGATGCTTTTATTAAACACGACTGCACTGAACCCTGGATTATTATTATGTTCAGTGATTGTGTCACCTGAAGGAATGTGACTCTGGCAAGAATCGGCTCATTTCTTGTCACGACTGTGTCCTGAGGAACAGGTGTGGTCTCTGGGTGTGCACCAGAACATTTTATGACCGTCTGACTGTCACCAGTTTAGGATCCAACGCCAAATCTACACAAATGTGCCACACAGCTCCCACGAGAGCCAATCACAGAGCTCCCAGACGCCACGAGAGCCAATCACAGAGCTCCCAGACCCACGAGAGCCAATCACAGAGAGCTCCCAGACCACGAGAGCCAATCACAGAGCTCCAGACCCACGAGAGCCAATCACAGAGCTCCCAGACCCACGAGAGCCAATAGGACCCTTACGGTGCTAAATGATGAATGCAAATAAAATCGTCTGTATTCCCATGATGCACCTGGGCCCTGATGAGCTCCACAGACGCTGGTACGGATCAGGTCTGCGTCAGGGCGTCAGCGCTGAGCATAAACCAGCCTGTACACAAGAAAAACACAATTAAACAAACACAACAAACACACAATTAAAAGCACAAATGAAATGTTGTGTAACGTCCCAACTGTGGAAGATGACTTGCAGCTAAATATACTTTACTGCATTGTCTTTAAAAAGAACTCAAGAAATTATTTATTATTATAATTAATGTGTTGTGTTCATGACACATTTCATAAACATGACAGTTTCCAAAGTGCTAATGCACACATGCAAATAAACACAATAAAAGACAAACAAAACCAGTGTAGTGACTATTTGTCTAATAAAAGTAACAAACAAAAGCGGTGAGCAAACTCACAACTAAACATAACTCAAATAATCACTTTTGGGCACCGTGGGTTTGTGGTTTACACAGTGACAAAATTACAACTCAATGTCCATGAGCAGAGCTGAGTTTACAAGATTTATTTCCAGTTTTGGCAAGAAACAAGGGACACATGTCAAAGGCGACTCCTGCTGCCTCCTGTCGACTGGGAAAAAAACCATAGGCCCACCCAGGTCACTCTGGTCTACGTGTCCTACCCTCCTTTATCCCCGAGGTGACCCACCTTAAACCAAAAACAAAAAAGGTGCCAACATAAATAATACCAACTTAGAAATTAGCAAACGTAATATTAACATCGCAAAAATATATTATGCAAATTCACACAACTGATTTAGTAAACAAATTAACAAGCAAAAATAATAAACTCATTTTAGAATCAACAAAATAAGAAAATAGCTCCTACACTCCGGCCCCTGATTGTGCATTAAATCACAATTACTATTCAACTGAACGAGGAACTGTTCTAAAGCAATGTCAGTATTAGATATGTGTGATGCATTAGCCTTAGCTGATTTTTCTTCTTCTTTCTTCTGATGAACCTACAAGAGAACATGACGAGGACCAGAGGTGGGACCACATCACACCGGTTTTAAAATCACTGCATTGGCTCCTGTGAGTTTCAGGATCCATTTTAAAGTTCTTTTACTGGTTTTTAAATGTCTTCATGGTCTTGGGTCTTCTTATCTTTCAGAACTGCTTTTACCCTACGAACCCTCGCGGACCCTGCGCTCCTCCGGCAGCAGCTCCTGGTCATTCCCAAAGTCAGAACACACACTCACGGAGAGGAGGCGTCTTTCCAGAACTACGGCCCCCGTCTATGGACCTGCAGCCGGAGGAGCTCAGGGCCAAAGAGAACGTTCATGTTTTTAAGAGCAGAATCAAGACCCACCTTTTTAGCTCAGCTTTTGATTGAAATCTTATACTTTTACTTGTTTCTATTGTACACATTTTATTATATTTATTTATTTTAGGCATATTTTTAGGATTTCCAGTGTTTCCTCTGTAGGAGCTTCTGCATCAGGAGCGGAGGTCGGCTGTGGTGTGTCGGGTTCTGTCCTGTGGGCTCCTGGTGGAGGGTTGGTGTTTGGGCTTCATCTCTCCCCTGGCTCCTGTGGTGGTTCCTGTGGTGGCTCCTGTGGTGGTTCCTGGTGGTTCCTGGGTGTTCCTGTGGTGGTTCCTGTGGTGGTTCCTGTGGTGGTTCCTGTGGTGGTTCCTGTGGTGGTTCCTGTGTGTTCCTGGTGGTGGTGGTGGTGGTGTGGTGGACGACGTCTCTCTGCTCCTGATGTAGAAGCTCCTCTGATGGTGCTTTCTCAACCGATTCACCTGTATTCAGCCAAACATTTTACTATGTCCAGTTTTATGTATTTTAGCATGTTAGTGTGTGTGTGTGTGTGTGTGTGAGTGTGTGCATGTTTGTGCTTATGTGAGTGTGTGTGTGTGTCTGGGTTGTTTGGTTGTGTGGGGTTGGGGGTGTAGGGGTTGGGTCGGTGGGTGTGTGGATGGAAATGTGGGATTGTTTTTAATCACTGTAAAGCACTTTGTGTTACATTTTTGTCTGAAAAGCACTTTATAAATAAAGTTTGATTGGTTTGATTGATGATAGACAGAACATAGGATGCAGAATAGAGACAGACAGAGGTTTGAGTTTATCTTGAGTCCACAGCCGCTTCCAGGAGCAGACAGAGTTTGGTCACTGGTCTCTCCAACTCACTGGTTTTGGTCTTGATCTGTGCTGAGTGAACCAGGCCTCTTGAGTCAGTGTTTACTGCCAGGACTCTTCCCATCTGCCAGCGACCAACACAATGTCTCCAGGACAGATGTTTCTTCTCGGCCTTATCCACTTCTGTCTTTCCTGCATGATTGGTAAGTACTCAGAGATCCATCGTTTCCAAAATATTTCTGTCATGTATTGCACTTGTCTCCATCTTTTCTTCAAGTACAAGTCTTCCCTTTCAAACAGACCAGGTGACATGACAGATTTGCCCTTTAATGTTAGGATGTGATTTGGTGTGAGGGCTTCTAGATCACCTGGATCATCAGAGACTGGTGTTAGAGGTCTGTCATTCAAAATGGCCTCGGCTTCACAAAACACAGTTTGGAGAACTTCATCATCCACAATCTGCTGCTTGAGGATTGAAGTGAGCACATTTCTGACTGAGCGAATCAGCCGCTCCCAGACGCCTCCTTGATGTGAAGCTGCAGGTGTATTCAAATGCCACTTTATGCCATCTTGCACCAAAGTTTTGTTAATTTTGTTTTGATTCAAAGCAGCCAGACTTTCTTTGAGCTCCCTGTTGCTCCCACAACATTTGTGCCATTATCTGACCTGATAGAGGAGACTGGACCACGTCTGCATACAAATCTCCTGACTGCATTGATACAAGAGTCAGCATCCAGTGTGTCTGCAACTTCTAAATGGACAGAACGACTGGTCAGACACGTGAAAATCACTCCATATCTTTTGAGGAGGCTCCTGCCCCTTTTAACATCAGTGGGGCCAAAATAGTCCACTCCAACGTCAGTGAATGGAGCTTTGTCTGGCATTACTCTTTCCAACGGCAAATCAGCCATTTTTTGTTCCATTAACTTTCCTCTGTTTCTTCTGCAGGTGACACATTCAGACAGGACTTTTCTGGCTGCAGAGTTTGCACTGATTATCCAGTACCTTCGACGGCGCCTGGAGAGCATGTGGTTCCTTCCTGCGTGGCCAAGCTGATGGTGACTAGAGCGCAGGCGTGACCCTGACAGCGGCAGGAATAAACTTTTATTCATCATGGAGATACAGCGCGTTCAGCCGCATGTGTTGGACCCGGAATCGGACGAGGACTTTGAGGAAGCACGAAGCTCAAGCACCGCGTCCACATCAGCTGAACATTACTGATTGGTAAAGTTTTAATAAACACTAGTAGATCAACTTATTATATCGTGTAACTGCAGTTTAGAACAATGAGCTTCTCTGCTGTCGCTTTTGTTTTAGGTTCATGTGGGAAATGTCAGACGATGTGGGAGGAGGTGGTGGAGCGGGGGACGGGGGTGGGTGCAAAGAGCCTTCTGCTACGTCAAACGTGTCATAGGTGAATCTGCTGCGTCATCGTTGTAGCAGCTTTAGTTCGTTGTCACGTGGGAGGGAGGCAGAAATATGCTGCAATTTGTTTAAAAAAAAAGCTGAATCAATCCAAAAACAACTTCGGCGACAAATACAAGGCCCACACATCACTCTGAGAAGGTAGAAAGATCTGAAAAGTTGATTTTGCATGAGATGAACCCTTTAAGATGCTCCGGCTCCCTGGGGACTCTTTTGGACGTAACACCTGAGGCAGACCACACCAGAGGGTAAGTACGTTCATTTTAACCACGATCACTTAAATTAAATGCACTTATTTCTTTTACAGGTCACTTCACAATAATCTGCACAACAATCAGTTATTCAATAAACATTTTTAAAACTGTTTCTTATTACCGCACCTGTTCTGGCACTAGGCCCATGTAATGGACTGGCTACATTACATTTCCCGACACGTTTGAGCAGGAGCACTTCTGTGTTCTTCAGACGAGTCACTGTGACGTGTTGATGGTTCTGCTTCCTGATTTCAGCCTCAGCCTCTTGTATCTGTTTTTGTGCTGTGTATTTGTGCTCCTCTTCTTAGCTCTGTTATTGTTTATTTCTTGTGTTCCTTTTTCCTTGTGCTAAATGTACTTCCTTCTTCCCCAGTACATGTTTTATTGTCTGTTTTCTGTGGATTCTTTTACAATAATGACATTAACATAAAAATGATAGAGCAGACACAAGAACAATGGAGCTGATTTGATCTTTATTTCCCAGACAAAACATGAAAACCATATTCTTATTGACATTGCTCTTCTGGGTGGTCACAATGTAACACGTTTAACACACAAATCCCAAGACAAAAAATAGGAATATATTTTATTTGTCACCAGCTTTACATTTTAAAAGCAAAAATCTCAAAGTTGTAACAGACATAATTAAAGATTTAACCACCTGGCTCCACTCCACACCCCAAACTAAAAATCTACAGAGAAAAACATTATTGTTATTAAAGAAACACATTCTGCTAAATCAACACATGAACTCTGTTCTAACAGTGTTTTCTCATGATCTCATTCAGAGTTGTTTCTAATTTAATCATTTCACACTTGAGAGCTCAGAAAATTTCAGTTTCCCCTTTCCCCACCCACACCTTTGTTCTTACGTACAGTTGAACAATGAATAATCTGTAAAATAATGATCTATGTAGGTTTACTACAGGAAAAAAAGTCCCATACTGCAGCTTTAAAACAGCAGTGTTTAGTACCTTATACATTTAAGTGACACATGTGAACACAGAGCAGCAGCAGAGACAAGAGCAGAGCTGGAGGCAGAACCTGCACTGCTCCTGAGAACACAGACTCATCCTTGTCCTCCTCCTCCGGCTCTGAGGTGGGCGGAGCCTCTGTGGTGGTGTGGGCGTCGTGTATGTGGTTGTGGGGCGGGCCTCTGTGGTGGTTGGCGTCGTGTATGTGGTTGTGGGCGGGGCCTCTGTGGTGGTGGTCCATGGGGCGTTGCAGTAGCTGGTGTTGCAGCAGGACAGTGGTTGGTTGTTGGTGTACAAGTATCTTTGGGAGAAGGTGAGGTTGTTGCACAGATTCTCAGAGACACATCCATAAACACTGTAGCTCCCAACTGGAACACAGAAGATCCACACAACTCAATATTCCCAATTAGACGAATATACAAAGCAAAGATTACAGATTTAAACAGGTTTTAGTGGTTCAGTAACAAATAAATGGGTGAAAAATATATCAAACCGCCCCCTTTCACAGACAGAACTAAACGTATTATCCCGTGGATTAAACTACACAGTCACTCCAGATAAAATTCCATACGAAGAACTCACACTCACTACTGAGCAAGTGTGCCAGTCTTTAACCTGTTACCATCCACCTATTTTGGTGTGTGCACAATAGCACTACATACCCAAATGCCATAGCTTATTAAAAGAAAACCTTAGAACCCACATGCTTGTGTGAGGCACCATTTTAAAGCTTAGACCTTCTAGTTTCTGTAGATATGTACATGAAGACTGTGAGTGCTGCCTAACCTACAGTACAGTCCGTTAAAAATTTGTATTTTTTTTGCTTCGAAAAAAACAGTTGAAAAAAATAAAGGCCTTAGCTTGGTCATACTTCATGCTAGGCATTTGTGACTCACTACACTCATTGTTCAAGTTGTTGGCAACAACTGTGTAGAATTTCAGACCTTTAGGACAAAGGGTTTTGATGCTGTGAGCCTTTGTGTAAACAAAATGACAATTCGGCACAAGATTGCCAAATTTGTGCCAAAATAATAATAATATAATAATAATAATAATTGTTATTATTATAATACTAATTCTTCTGAGCTTTAGGCATGTTTTCTCAAGAAAAAAAAACTAAAAGTAGCCAAAATTGTCTTCCAAGTGGAAGATCTGCCTTCTATAGCACCGCTCGCACTGCTCCCTGTCTCCCTCTCTCCTTACGCTTATAAACACAGGGTCCGTTTCCAATACAATCTGCAATGTCCCACCCACCGTTTGAAAGCTCTGGTGATTGGCTAAAACAATATGTCAATCACTTTCTGGAAGATCCAATGACTGAAGAGATTTCCCGTAAACAAACTGATGACGCGTGCGTAAAGCCAGGAAGTACGTGAGTGCGTTAGCTTCTTCAGCGGCTTGTCCCACCTAAACCCCGCCACCGACAACAGCGGGGAGGGTCTCATTTTGAAGCTAAGAGTGTGAGGAAAACAAGCGCACCCAAGAGCGGGAGAGAAAGGGAACTCAGAGAGGGAGAAGAGCTCGGAGAAGAGCAACATATCTTTTCATTCACGGATTCATCCACTTCATACGGACGACGGATTTTCTGGATTATTTCCCCACATGGAATTATTTTATGGAAAAAATAACTTGATATTCTTTTTCTGTGGATTATTACAGACTTATTGAGTACAACTTTTCATGGATTGAACACGTTTTGGACCGACAGAACCGGCACAAATATAAGAAACGCGTATTTTATTCTTTGTTTATGATGTGAATTTTTAAGTTATAGCGTTTTGGGCTCGTTGTACGACATAAAATGAATGATATGGTTGTTTTATTGATAAATTAAGCTTTCAAACGATGTATGGCATGTCAGTAGTGAAAAAAATAATGAAGGTGAATATACAGAGTGAACATTTTTTATTGGAAAATCGCCCGCCGGCGGGCGGGTGGATGATAAGTGGTTTTAAAAGACCAGGGAGAAAAATCAGAACTCAGGAACGAAATAGAGCCAAAATCCTGTGGGACTTCAGATACAGACTGACAGGATGGTGATGGACCAACCAGACATAGTTGAGCTGGAGAAGAACAGAACAAAGCCGTGGTGGTGGAACATCACAACACCAAGAGATGGAAACTAGAGAAATATCAGGGGCTCAAGGAGGAGCTGGAGAAGCTCTGGTAAGTGAAAGCATCAGTGGTGCCTGTGGTGATCAGACACTCGGGGCTGTGACCCCCAAACTGGAAGAAACTCCTGCAGATCCAGGAAAATAACAGAACATCTCAGTCCAGAAAAGTGCAGAACGGGAACAGCAAAGATACTGAAGAACTCTCAGGCTCCCAGACTCTGGTAGAGGAGCCGAGCTGAATGAGAGGGTGAGAACAACCACCGTGGAAGGTGAAGAGCACTTTTTTTTTTTTTTTTAAATGTGTGTGTGTGTGTTTACTCTTAAACTGAAATACTCCGGACCATGTGCACTATGAAACATCATAAAGAAATAAAAGGCAAGTGTGTCTCTCACCAGAAGTGTTGGCGCAGGTCTCCAGGACACTGCAGGTCACAGTTGCTCTGCATTCATTTGTGTTTGGGTCACAGCCGTAACACTGCAGCGAGCCAGCAGGGGGCGCAGGAACTGAAACACATAGAACAAAACTCTAATTTTACCCTCTAAACTCAGACATCAGCGGTCAGATCACTCACTGGTCAGGTTTGGAGCGTTGCAGTCGTCTGTGTTGCAGCATGTGTAGTTTCTGAGGTAAGACCTGGAGCCAGTGTCATAAGAAACAAACTCAGACCCTGCAGCTGTACAGATCGAGGATGAAGCACAGCCTTTATCGATCCAACTGTAGTTGTAGCTTCCATAATCGTAAGAACCTGAAACCAGAACAGAAGCAGGTCAGATCTGAAGAGACTTCTCCAAGAACCAGGTCTGGACTGTGGACCAGAGCCAGACCCGCCCACTACAGACCTGTACCAACCAATCAGAGAGAGGCTCAGACATGCAGTGACCAATCAGAGGACAGTACTGTACCTGCGTAGGCATCAGTGTAACAGAAGGGGGCGAGTTTGGAGCAGGTCACCGAGCGCTGAGAAGAACATGACGAGTCTGTGCACGACAAACACTGTAACCCCAGATCTGAAAGAGACACAGGTTAGACCAGGACTGAACCAGGACTGAACCAGGACTGAACCAGGACTGAAAAAGGACTAACCTGGGACGTTGCAGTGGGAAGTGCTGCAGCAGGACACTGGGCTACTGAAGTTTAAATATCGTTGTGACAGGCTGGTGTTGTTGCACAGATTCTCAGAGACACAGCCGTAAAATGGACGGGATGGGTTATACTGGTCAACTGTAATGAAAGGTCAGAGGTCGGGCTGAATCGGGGGAGGTTGTGTAAGAGCAAGAAGTTTGTGAACTTGGAGAGGTGAACTTGGAGAGGAGTCCTGATTCTTCCAGTAAAACAATGTACCTGCCTGAGGAGACTGTGCTTGAGTGTTTAGTGACTCAACTCATATTATGTCGTGAGGGGCGAGGCGCAGGGTTCCAAACTGCAAACTCTGGCAATGAATTTGTTAAACTCGGGAAGAACAGCTAAGATAAAAGACTGATTTACTGATCAATAAATCTCCACAGGATCTATACTAACTCATGGCTGAATGGAAGGAGCCCTGGTCACCGCCCACAACATTGGACAAAGTCTGTTTTTGGGTGGAGTTTTGGCCTCCAGGAAAGTTCAACCTTCATGATGACGATGGTCTCTCTTGTCCTGTTGCATTTTGGTGAACTGGTGCATGAAAATGACTCTTTAAATATATAATGTGCCTCTCTGATGGTTCTGATGGTGAATGTTTGTGTCACAGATGTAAAAGAGTCATAAAAGAGTATCTCCTCTTAGGAACCTGACAGAGGAGGTCTGCTGTATTTGCAGCCAGACCCTGTTGTGTGTTTCTGTGTCACGATGTGTGAAGAATCCCTCAGTCGTCCAGGTAGAATCCATGGCAAAAGGGAAATTCAATTTGTTAACTGGACAAAAGTTTATTTGGTCGAATAAGTTTCTCAGCTCATCCAAGCTGCTTCTTCAGTTCTGGTCAGACGCTGGTGGACACTTCCTTATATCTGTCTGCAGGGAGGGACTAAATAACTACTCTCCAGGCTGAGGTCTTCAGGAAGCCCACACACACGGACCAGTACCTGCTTTTGGATTCTCACCACCCACTGTAACACAAACTTGGAGTTATTCGGCCACTACAACACAGGGCTCAAGTGGTGCCTACAAGCACAGAGGGAAAGGACAAAGAAGCAGAACATGTGCATGAAGCCCTCTGTGTTTGTGCAGATCCTAAATGGACTTTGAATGAAACAAAGAGCTAAAAAACAAGACAACAGAGAATCAAAACCCAGGAGAAAGGGGGTAACTACTCCTTACATGGCTTGTGTTTCTGAAAAACTACTGAGGATTTTCAAACAACATGAAATCCCAGTGAACTTCAAACCTACAAACACTTTAAAACAGAAACTGGTCCAAAGGACAAAACACCGAGCCACAAACAAAACAATGTGATCTCCTCCATTCAGTGTAGTGAAGACTGAAGTGAGCGCCGCACTGGAGAAACTAAACAGACACTTCACAAGAACCAACACAGGACCTCAGTCTGCTGTTCATCTCCACCTAAAAGCCTCGGGTCGCTCTTTTGAGAACAATGAGGTCCAGATCTGATCCAGAGGAAAGAATTGGTTTGAGAGGAGAGATAATAAACATTGAGAACAAGAGACACGATGCAGCAAGTCGTATCTGCGGCACTCGCATTTATGAAGCTACTCATCATTTCACTTTGGTCGTCTGCTTTATTTTGGCACCAAATGTTTATTTCCTGTCTTGTCCCTGATAAAAGTCTGGAGACGCTCTGATGCTGAAAAATCAGAACTCCAACTTCATTTGAGCGGCGTGTAGCGTAATGATGGTTACTGGACGTGTGAATGACACTGCTGCTGTACACTGTCCGACCGCTTAAAATGGAAAGCGATGCCTGTGTGTTTGCTGCGCGTGTGCTGTGCTGCTGCACTTACGCTGTTACTGCTTTGGTGTAAATTGGGGGTAAATGTCCCTCCTCTACGTCAGAACACAGTAGAAGTGGATCTTTTGAACGGTACTCACCCACAGCCTGTCCACACACCTCCTGGGTGTTACAGGTCACATTGGCAGTGCATTCATAAGAGTAAGGATCACAGCTGTAACACTGCAGAGAGCCAACAGGGGGCACCACAACTGAAACAAATGTGTGTTAAATGAGACATTTTCAAAGTGCAGAACATCAGCTGATAAGAGAGAATCACTCACTGGGCTGATTCTGGTTGTTGCAGTTGTCTGTGTCGCAGCACGTGGTGTTTACAGCATAAGTGTTGGGGCCATAATTATATGAAACAAACTCAGACCCTGCAGCTGTACAGTCTGAAGCAGAAGCACAGCCTTTATAGGTGTAGTTGTAGGTGTAACTGTAGTCTCCATAATCGTAGGAGCCTAAAGACACAAAAGGAACAAATAAGAATCTCCTGAAGAGGGCAGTGCAGGTGCTGGTGCAGCACAACCTGAAAAAAACACATTCAGTCCCACACGCCTCTTTGGCCACTTCAACAAAGTGAGACATATTTGTGATTCAGATTTGATGTTAGTTTCTGTATTATCATGATCTGTATTATTTAATACATGTGTCCTTAAACCCTGTTTTTGTTGATTTGTTCAGAGTCTTGATGTTGAGGTGGAAGTGTGACAGAGTGAGGAGGAGATAAATCCCTTCCCTGGCTCCAGGACACACAATCCTCCAACACTTTAGACGGTGAGTCTGGTCACTGGTGAATCTTTGTTTTCAGGTGGGTGTGATTGACAGGTGGATTAACTAGTCAGGGACACACATGATCTGTTCAAATCAGAAATAATTATCACAGGTGGTTGAGAAACATGTGTAAAAACATCTGTAAAAACATCTGTAAAAACATCTGTAAAAACATCTGTAAAAACATCTGTAAAAACATCTCTAAACTCATCTGAGGGGAGAGATTTTCTTTGTAAATCACAGGAGAGCAGTGAGCTCCTTCAGTCTCTGGTTCTGTTCTTCTTCTTCTCTGGTTCTGTTGGGCTGCAGGTGGACGCTCTGCTCTCACCTTTATCATCAAAACCTGTTCACTGATGATGTCAGCTGAAGGAATGTACTTCCTGCTATGAAAGAACTCATTTCCTGTTCTGTTCTTATGGGATCTTACATCATGTCCTGACGTTGTGGTGGTGGAACAGGTTTGGGTGCAGCTGCAGAGTTCATGACCTACTGACTGTCACAGGACAAAACCAGAGACTCAGCACTTTATTTTACAGACAAAGTGTAAAAAACAAGACCAAAGACCCGGAGGAGACCAGGTGCACGATTGGCCGAGAGCAGAGGACACATGACTCACTGTGATAACTGAGCGTCGTCTCCGTGAAAAGTGCGTAAACGTGTGAAAAATACGAGTGTGGACAAATGTATTTAGATTCTCTGATAAACTTAGAGGATGTGATGAGAAAAGAGGCTGGTGCAGTTACCGGCGTAAGTCCTGGAGACACACTGGCTCTGTCCCGACGAGCAGATCTGTGACGTCTGAGAAGAACACGAAGAACCTCCACAGGACCGGCACTGCAGACCAGCAGCTGCAAGAGACCAGACCAGGTTCAACAAGGACTAAAACAGGACTAAAACAGGACTAAAACAAGGACTAAAACAGGACTAAACAGGACTAAAGCAGGACTAAAACAAGGACTAAACAGGACTAAAACAGGACTAAAACAAGGACTAAAACAGGACTAAAACAGGACTAAAACAGGACTAAAACAAGGACTAAAACAAGGACTAAAACAGGACTAAAACAGGACTAAAACAGGACTAAAACAAGGACTAAAACAGGACTAAAACAGGACTAAAACAAAACTAAAACAGGACTAAAAACAGGACTAAAACAGGACTAAAACAAGGACTAAAACAAAGGACTAAAAAAGGACTAAAACAAGGACTAAAACCAGGACTAAACAGGACTAAAACAAGGACTAAAACAAGGACTAAAACAGGACTAAAACAGGACTAAAACAAGGACTAAAACAAGGACTAAAACAAGGACTAAAACAGGACTAAAACAAGGACTAAAACAGGACTAAAACAAGGACTAAAACAAGGACTAAAACAGGACTAAAACAAGGACTAAAACAAGGACTAAAACAGGACTAAAACAAGGACTAAAACACTAAAACAGGACTAAAACAAGGACTAAAAACAGGACTAAAACAAGGACTAAAAACAAAGGACTAAAACAGGACTAAAACAGGACTAAAACACTAAAACAAGGACTAAAACAGGACTAAAACAGGACTAAAACAGGACTAAAACAAGGACTAAAACAAGGACTAAAACAAGGACTAAAACAGGACTAAAACAGGACTAAAACAGGACTAAAACAGGACTAAAACAGGACTAAAACAGGACTAAAACAGGACTAAAACAAGGACTAAAACAAGGACTAAAACAGGACTAAAACAAGGACTAAAACAGGACTAAAACAGAACTAAAACAAGGACTAAAACAAGGACTAAACAAGGACTAAACAGGACTAAAACAAGGACTAAAACAGGACTAAAACAGGACTAAAACAAGGACTAAAACAGGACTAAAACAAGGACTAAAACAGGACTAAAACAGGACTAAAACAGGACTAAAACAAGGACTAAAACAGGACTAAAACAGGACTAAAACAGGACTAAAACAAGGACTAAAACAGGACTAAAACAAGGACTAAAACAGGACTAAAACAGGACTAAAACAAGGACTAAAACAGGACTAAAACAACTAAAACTAAAACAGGACTAAAACAGGACTAAAACAAGGACTAAAACAGGACTAAAACAGACTAAAACAAGGACTAAAACAGGACTAAAACAAGGACTAAAACAAGGACTAAAACAGGACTAAAACAGGACTAAAAACTAAAACGGACTAAAACAGGACTAAAACAGGACTAAAACAGGACTAAAACAACTAAAACAGGACTAAAACAAGGACTAAAACAAGGACTAAAACAGGACTTAAAACAAGGACTAAAAGGACTAAAACAGGACTAAAACAAGGACTAAAAACAAAACAGGACTAAAACAAGGACTAAAACAAGGACTAAAACAGGACTAAAACAGGACTAAAACAGGACTAAAACAGGACTAAAACAAGGACTAAAACAGGACTAAAACAAGGACTAAAACAAGGACTAAAACAAGGACTAAAACAAGGACTAAAACAGGACTAAAACAAGGACTAAAAACAAACTAAAACAGGACTAAAACAGGACTAAAACAGGACTAAAACAAGGACTAAAACAGGACTAAAACAGGACTAAAACAGGACTAAAACAGGACTAAAACAGGACTAAAACAGGAGGACTAAAAAGGACTAAACAGGACTAAAACAGGACTAAAAAGGACAGGACTAAAACAGGACTAAAACAAGGACTAAAACAAGGACTAAAACTAAAAAGGACTAAAAACAGGAAAAACTAAAACAAGAACTAAAACAAGGACTAAACAGGACTAAAACAGGACTAAAACAAGGACTAAAACAACTAAACAAGGAAAACTAAAACAAGGACTAAAACAGGACTAAAACAACTAAAACAGGACTAAAACAAGGACTAAAACAGGACTAAAACAGGACTAAAACAGGACTAAAACAAGGACTAAAACAGGACTAAAACAAAAACAGGACTAAAACAAGGACTAAAACAAGGACTAAAACTAAAACAAGGACTAAAACAGGACTAAAACAGGACTAAAACAAGGACTAAAACAAGGACTAAAACTAAAACAGGACTAAAACAGGACTAAAACAGGACTAAAACAGGACTAAAACAAGGACTAAAACAAGGACTAAAACAGGACTAAAACAAGGACTAAAACAAGGACTAAAACAAGGACTAAAACAGGACTAAAACAGGACTAAAACTAAAACAAGGACTAAAACAGGACTAAAACAGGACTAAAACAAGGACTAAAACTAAAACAGGACTAAAACAAAACAAGGACTAAAACAAAGGACTAAAACAAGGACTAAAACAAGGACTAAAACAAGGACTAAAACAGGACTAAAACAGGACTAAAACAGGACTAAAACAAGGACTAAAACAAGGGACTAAAACAGGACTAAAACAGGACTAAAACTAAAACAACTAAAGGACTAAAACAAAACAAGGACTAAAACAGGACTAAAACAGGGACTAAAACAAGAACTAAAAACAGGACTAAAACAAGGACTAAAACAGGACTAAAACAACTAAAACAAGGACTAAAACAAGGACTAAAACAAGGACTAAAACAGGACTAAAACAAGGACTAAAACAGGACTAAAACAAGGACTAAAACAGGACTAAAACAGGACTAAAACAGGACTAAAACAGGACTAAAACTAAAACAAGGACTAAAACAAAGGACTAAAACAAAACAGGACTAAAACTAAAACAGGACTAAACAAGGACTAAAACAAAAAAACAGGACTAAAACAAGGACTAAAACAAGGACTAAAACAGGACTAAAACAGGACTAAAACAAGGACTAAAACAGGACTAAAAACAAAAAACAAGGACTAAAACAAGGACTAAAACAGGAGGACTAAAACAAGGACTAAAACAAGGACTAAAACAAGGACTAAAACTAAAACAAAGGGACTAAAACAGGACTAAAACAAGGACTAAAACAAGGACTAAAAACTAAAAGGACTAAAACAAGGACTAAAACTAAAAAGGACTAAAACAGGACTAAAACAAGGAACTAAAACAAGGACTAAAACAAGGACTAAAAAGGACTAAAACAGGACTAAAACAAGGACTAAAACAAGGACTAAAACTAAAAACTAGGACTAAAACAGGACTAAAACAAGGACTAAAACAAGGACTAAAACAAGGACTAAAACTAAAACAGGACTAAAACAGGACTAAAACAAGGACTAAAAAGGACTAAGGACTAAAACAAGGACTAAACTAAAACAAGGACTAAAACAGGACTAAACAGGACTAAAACAGGACTAAAACAGGACTAAAACAGGACTAAAACAGGACTAAACCAGACAAAACAGGACTAAACCAGGACTAAAACAAAGGACTAAAACAGGACTAAAAACAGGACTAAAACAGGACTAAAACTAAAACAAGGACTAAAACAAGGACTAAAAAAACCAGGACTAAACAGACTAACCAGACTAAACCAGGACTAAAACAGGACTAAACAGGACTAAAACCAAGGACTAAACAAGACTAAAACAGGACTAAAACAAGACTAAACCAGGACTAAACAAGGACTAAAAACAGGACTAAACTAAAACAGGACTAAACCAGGACTAAACCAGGACTAAAACTAAACAGAACTAAACCAGGACTAAACTAAAACCAGGGACTAACTAAACCAGGACTAAACCAGAACTAAACCAGGACTAAACCAGGACTAAACCAGGACTAAACCAGGACTAAACCAGGACTAAACCAGGACTAAACCAGGACTAAACCAGGACTAAACCAGGACTAAACCAGGAAACCAAACCACCAGGACTAAACCAGGACTAAAAAAGGACTAAACCAGGACTAAACCAGGACTAAACCAGGACTAAACCAGGACTAAACCAGGACTAAAACTACCAGGACTAAATCAGGACTAAAAAAGGACTAAACCAGGACTAAACCAGGTCTAAACCAGAACTAAACCAGGACTAAACCAGGTCTAAACCAGAACTAAACCAGGACTAAACCAGGTCTAAACCAGAACTAAACCAGAACTAAACCAGGACTGAACCAGGACTAAACCAGGACTAAACCAGGTCTAAACCAGGACTAAACCAGAACTAAACCAGGACTAAACCAGGTCTAAACCAGGTCTAAACCAGGACTAAACCAGAACTAAACCAGGACTAAACCAGGTCTAAACCAGGACTAAACCAGGACTAAACCAGGACTAAACTAAACCAGGACTAAACCAGGACTAAACCAGGACTAAACCAGGACTAAACTAGGACTAACCAGGACTTAAACCAGGACTAAACCAGGACTAAACCAGGACTAAACTAGGGACTAAACCAGGTCTAAACCAGGACTAAACCAGGACTAAACCAGGACTAAACTAAACCAGGACTAAACCAGGACTAAACCAGGACTAAACCAGGACTAAACCAGGTCTAAACCAGGACTAAACCAGGACTAAACCAGGACTAAACCAGGACTAAACCAGGACTAAACTAGGACTAAACCAGGACTAAACCAGGACTAAACTAGGACTAAACCAGGACTAAACTAGGACTAAACCAGGTCTAAACCAGGACTAAACCAGGACTAAACCAGGACTAAACCAGGACTAAACCAGGACTAAACCAGGACTAAACCAGGACTAAACCAGGACTAAACCAGGACTAATCTTAGACTTAAGAGAGAAAACGCCGAGCAGTTTGTCTGCTGCGTTTACCTCCGTGAGGTGCGGAGCTGAGACGCTCCTGTAACCTGTGGTCACCTCCAACCTGACGCTGAGTCCTGTGTCAGTCCTGGTTTAATCTTGGTTTAGTTCTGTTTTAGTCCTGGTTTAGTTCTGTTTTAGTCCTGGTTTAGTCTTGGTTCAGTCCGTGGCGTAGGCAGCGGCGTAAGTTTGATATAATCTTAACGGGCAGGTGCGGTCCTGTCCTGGCAGGTGCGGTCCTGTACTGGCAGGTGCGGTCCTGTACTGGCAGGTGCGGTCCTGTACTGGACTCTGCTCTGTCGGCTCTATTATGGAATAAATGAATCTTAGTTTGTTACATAAAAAAGGAGGAAAATAACAAAAGGACGACAGCAGCAACAAGTTTGAAGAAGGAAGTAAAAAGTGTTGCACCTGTCGATCCTGTCGGAGAAAAGTGTATAAAGTTTGTGCTGAGGTTTTACAGACTTAAAACAGATAGAATAATTGTAAAATATAAAGTTGATACTTCGTGGGTTATTTTTAGAACATAACTCCCACGATAAACGAGGGACACTGTCCTCTCACCTCAGCCTGTGCACATGGACTCACACTCGTCCCAACGGAAAATGGAGAATTTCTTGTCCAAGTCGTTGTTAAATGTTCATTTGTGCTTCTGTATGTTTCAGACCCACTGTTTGTGTCTCGCTCCTTCTGAGTCACAGACGAGAGACGCTCAGTTTAATGAACGATACTGAAAACCCGGACGTTTGCATCACTTTATAAAAAAAAAAAACCCGGACATGACGCAAAATACAGACATGTCCGGGGAAAAACGGACATTTGGTCGCACGATTACTGCCCCATATGATCATTATCCCCAAATATCAGATTTTTCCTGTTAATAAAACTTTATTTGAGCCTGAGAGGATCAAACGTGTCTAAATCCAAATTTAAATCACATAAATACCTGAGTGGACGCAGACGAACAGAACCACCAGAGTCAAGAGCTTCACAGACGTCTTCATCCTCCTGCTCCTGTCGGCTCCTGTCGGCTCCTGTCGGCTCCTGTCGGCTCCTGTCGGCTCTTCTGACTCTGCTCTGGCTGCTCTTGTTCCTTCTGTACTCTGAGCTCTGTACGTCGTGTGTGTTGTCGTTGTGTTTCAAACCTGTTCGTCGTCTGGAGGAATGTGTCGCCCACGATCAGGTCGCTCGTTTCTCAGAATCACTGTGGAGGAACAGGTTTGAACTGAACTGCTCCAGGGTTCTTCCTCTGTCTCTCAAGGCCGAGGTGAGTCCAGGTTCAGTCCCGGTTCAGTCCAGGTTCAGTCCACGGTTCAGTCCAGGTTCAGTCCAGGTTCAGTCCTGGTTCAGTCCCGGTTCAGTCCAGGTTCAGTCCAGGTTCAGTCCAGGTTCAGTCCAGGTTCAGTCCCAGGGTTCAGTCCAGGTTCAGTCCTGGTTCAGTCCCGGTTCAGTCCTGGTTCAGTCCGTATGCGGTGCAAAAGTCCAGCATCTCGATCGATCGATGTTCCTTCTGTTCGATAAATAAAACCTGTGAAGTGAGGAGGGATTTTTGACACAAAACAACACAGTGTTCGTTCGTGATTTGCCAGAATCATAAAAATAAATATTAAACGAGTTCAGTGAAAAAACAACATGTAACATTAAGACTTCTTTTTATTTGGAAATATATTTATTTGATACATGTTTAACATCCAGAACATGTTTGTGTGTTGTGCAGGAGTGGTCCAGATGCCCTCCCACAGCCCCTCACCTGCTCCTCTACCACCTCAGCTCTGATCTACAGTTTGGTTTGATCTGGATCTGTCCAAAATCTGCTCATCCACACGAGGACGTTTACAGCGACGTCCTAAACTCTGTTCTGACTCTGTGTCCTAACGCTGCTCTGTCCATTTATCTCAGGCCGTGAACGTCTGTGAACGTTCACTGATTCACTGATTCACTGATTCACTGATTCACTGATTCACTGATTCACTGACGCCTCGAGGCTGTGACAGACGCACGGATCAAATCTGTGAGCAAAGATGAACATCAGAAACATTTATGTGACAATAAACGTGTTTCATAATCCACGAGAACTTCACCTGTGTGAGACCGAACGCACTGGACCTGAGAGTCTGAATGTGAGCGGTCAGCGGGACCTGAGGTGGGACGCTCGCTCGTACCTCAGGTGAGTCAGCTCAGGTGAGTCAGCGGGACCTGAGGTGGACGCTCGTACCTCAGGTGAGTCAGCGGGACCTGAGGTGGACGCTCGTGGTGAGTCGCTGAGCGCTACCTCAGGTGAGTCTGTGGACGACCTGAGGTGGACGCTCGTACCTCAGGTGAGTCCTGAGGTGGACGCTCGTACCTCAGGTGAGTCACGCGCTCGTACCTCAGGTGAGTCTGCTGAGCGCTCGTACCTCAGGTGAGTCTGCGGGACCTGAGGTGGACGCTGCTGGTGCTGTGACGCTCGTACCTCAGGTGAGTCTGCCTGAGGTGGACGCTCGAGGTGAGTCTGTGGACCTGTGGACCTGAGGTGAGTCTGTGGGACTGTGGACGACAGTGTGACGGGGACCAGGTGTGATGAAGCCGTGGATCTGCTGTGGGATGTGAGCGTCTGAGAGACTCTGGTCTTAAACAAACAGATAAAACTATAAAAGTTTGATGTTCTGTCAGTCGGTCACTTCTGTCATGGTCGACACTAAACTCTATCTTCCTTGCGCCTCTGCTGGTGTGTTCCTGCATCGTGAGGCTCTGGAGCTGTTTTATTGTCACATTTATAACTTTTCCTCACACTCGTCTGATAATGAGGTAAAGTTTACAGACTTTACCCACACTGACAGTGATTTAAAAACCACAGAGTCACAGATTGGTTCAGATGTCGTCACCATATTTGGACTTGTACCGTTCCACCTGGACACGCCCCTTAACACTTGTGATTGGTTCTGAGACTGAGGACAAGATCAGGCCCAGTGTGTCTTAATGCCAAAGTTAAAGGAACGACTCCAGAATGTGCCAACTTTACAAAGACGCTGTGTTTGTGTTCTGACTCACCGGACGCGGATCAGGACAAAACCGTCACGTCACATGCACATGTCTCTAGACCAGTGTTCAACTCATCTTGTTCCGGCGTCGTGTCCAACCGACTTTGATCCAAAGTGTCCGGATCAGAAAACTCATGTCATATAAACCCCAAAAATAACAAGAAGTTCAAATATTTGTGCAGAGAAACACAAACCTATTACACAAATCTTTTTTAATTGATGAACTCTTTCTTTTACAACATATTATAATATTATGAACAACCTGAAACTTTAAGAAAAATACAATTTCAGCACAAAGTTTGAACATGAACTTGTCTGTAAACAGAATAAGTAATTTTTTGTTGTAAAATCCTGCACTCGGCTCCACTTTTCTCATGTGTGACATTTTTCTGATGAGGGTGTCACGGTCAACAGTCAAAACCATCGTCCTTTAAGACGTTTGGAAAGAGACAAGTCTTCATTTGTGCTGCTCTGGTGGGAGGGGCCACGTACAGAGACGCTGGAGACGCTGCTGTGATAAACACCACACAAAATTAACAACATTTTAATAGAAAATATCATTACATTGGGTCTGGTCAAGTGTTAACGGAGGGAAACAGGGTCAGATTTTTGACATTCAAATGTCTCTTATTCAGAAACTAGAGGAACTATTGAAATAAGTAAAGTATCAGAATGTAGGAAAGAGTTACACTCCAACAGGGTCAAGTTAAACCTGTGAGATTCTTTCAAGTTCAACACAAAAAATTTAAAAACTCATGTTGGTAACGGAGGGAATGAAATATGCAGCACTTTTTGGTTCAATAAATCCAAACAGTGATAACTCTTGGTTCTCACTTCCATATCCTTAACAAACTGGTTTGAATATTTGCTTCATATAGTTTTCTACCATATGATACAAGATTAGGATGAAAAACCTCTTTTTGACTCATGAGATTTTTTATTAATAAAGTTCATGGTAACGGAGGGAAAAGTAACGGAGGGAAAATTGTACAAACAAGTAGAAGGTGCAGGATTTTACATCATTTGTGGCTTTTTTCTTCTGAAAACTTTAATATTACTTCAAAATTACTTTTAAATCCTGTCCCTTCATCAACAGTTCAAAGATGGAATAACACAAGATATGATGAAATACAAACATTATTTACATGATTTTTGGGTCTTTGAAATTTGGGAAATAATTTTTGTTCCATGTTTCATTCATGGTCTGTTTAAAACAGATGGAACTTTAGAACCAAAAATGGAACAGAAAAAAAGGTTTGATAAACTCGAGTACATATGTATCTGTTCAACACACTTTTATATCAGATGAATTCACTGGAAGTTTTGGCCTTGTTGTTTACTTCTGTTTGACTGGGCCCAAATATTCTAGTAGAAAATCAGCCGAGGGCCAGATTAAAGGTGTTGGAGGGCCGGATTTGGCCCCCGGGCCGTATGTTTGACACCCTTGATCTACACAGTCACATACAGAAGAACATGTGATCGTACGTTTTTATTTGGTGATTTTATTTCTGGACGTCGTCACTTTTCGGTTCATGTTCCGATGATAAAATTCACTCGACACATTTTCTGATTTATTTAACCTCAACTACAGAAAAATATTCATTTATAGATTTCTCTCCTACACGGATATTTCTGAAATGTTCTTACTCCAGAGTGAACCCTCTTTTTGTTCAAAGCAAATGTAAAAATATGAGGAAAAAAATCTAGTTTCACAGTTTCCGCGTGTGCACAGTTTTTGTCTCGCAGGATCTTGTGATTAGAGCGACAGGTTTTTAAACGACTTTCACGTCACTTCAGGCGAGTCCAGTTTCTGTCTCAGGATCTGACACACGGGAATGTTTCAGACGATAAAAAGGAGAGTTTCCTGTTGTGTTGTGAAAGTTTTTCAGTGTGATGAGGCCTCAGGTGATCAGCGCTGACTCACACCGCCTGTCACTCACACCGCCTGTCACTCACACCGCCTGTCACTCACACCGCCTGTCACTCACACCGCCTGTCACTCACACCGCCTGTCACTCACACCGCCTGTCACTCACACCGCCTGTCACTCACACCGCCTGTCACTCACACCGCCTGTCACTCACTGGGTTTTCAAAATAAAAACAAAAATAAGAAAAAAAAAAAAACAACAACAACAACAAAGATTTTCTTCATTATTTGTCTCCAAAACCAAAATGAAAAAAACGAAAACAGAACCAGGACTAAACCAGGACTAAACCAGGACTAAACCAGGACTAAAGTTAAGTTAAATATTATTTTTTTCATTTTCTTATTTTTGGTTTTATTTTGAAAAACAAATGAGTGACTCACAGATTGTTTGGTTCTGTTCAGACCTCTGGATCTGGATCTGGATCTGGGTCTGGATCTGGATCTGGATCTGGATCTGGATCTGGGTCTGGATCTGATCTGGATCTGGATCTGGGTCTGGATCTGGGTCTGGGTCTGGATCTGGATCTGGATCTGGATCTGGATCTGGGTCTGGATCTGGATCTGGATCTGGATCTGGATCTGGGTCTGGGTCTGGATCTGGATCTGGGTCTGGATCTGGGTCTGGATCTGGGTCTGGATCTGGATCTGGATCTGGGTCTGTCTGGATCTGGGTCTGGATCTGGTCTGGATCTGGATCTGGATCTGGATCTGGATCTGGATCTGGGTCTGGATCTGGATCTGGGTCTGGATCTGGGTCTGGATCTGGGTCTGGATCTGGATCTGGGTCTGGATCTGGGTCTGGATCTGGATCTGGGTCTGGATCTGGGTCTGGATCTGGGTCTGGGTCTGGATCTGGGTCTGGATCTGGGTCTGGATCTGGGTCTGGATCTGGATCTGGGTCTGGATCTGGGTCTGGATCTGGGTCTGGATCTGGATCTGGGTCTGGATCTGGGTCTGGATCTGGGTCTGGATCTGGATCTGGGTCTGGATCTGGATCTGGGTCTGGATCTGGATCTGGGTCTGGATCTGGGTCTGGGTCTGGATCTGGATCTGGGTCTGGATCTGGGTCTGGATCTGGATCTGGATCTGTCTGGATGGATCTGGTCTGGATCTGGATCTGGATCTGGATCTGGATCTGGGTCTGGATCTGGATCTGGATCTGGGTCTGGA